CTCAAACTCTTTATGCTATCTCTCTAGCTTTCATGCTCTTTTTTGGGGGGAGAGGGTGGGGGATAGCATATGCATTTGCCTAGTTTACCTTTTAAAATTTTTAAAAAGACATTCCTTTCTCAGCTTCATTTTGAAAGTCTTTTGAACACAGAATTTTTCTCTGAAGTAAAGTATTTATGTTTGAAAGTATTTTAATAGTTGAACTTCGCACACTTCTATTTATTGATATGATAAGATGATTGCTTTTAGCTATATTATTTTAAAGGTAAACTGTTTTTTTTCTTTTTGGGTCACATCTGGCGATGCACAGGGGTTACTACTGGCTCTGCACTCAGAAGTCACTCCTGGCGGTGCTCAGGGGACCATATGGGATGCTGGGAATCGAACCCGGGTCAGCCGGGTGCAAGGCAAACGCCCCACCCACTGTGCTATCTCTCCAGCCACTAAACTGTTTTCTTAGCTCCTAAAAATTCACTATACAATGTGATTTTTTTCTATTTTCATTGTCATAATTGAAATGGCTTGTATTAGTATTTACCCTTTGGGAGCAGTTGGGCCAGACCCAGAGGTGCTCGGGGGCTATTCCTGGCTCTTTGTGCCCAGGGATCACTTCCAGTGGAGCTTGGGGGACCATGTGGTGCCAGGGATGAAACTGAGGTTGGCTGCCTACAAATCAACTGCTTTACCCTGGTACTATCTCTCTGAACCTGAGTGTTTATCTTTGAAATTCATGTTTATATAATTCCATTATATCTTTAGCAGTATCCATTAATGGCAAACATCTCCACAATGAATAATGAAAACATTTATATATGTCCTTCCTTTACTCTTCCCCTCCCTCCCTTGCAGAATTCAATTATAGTTCATTTTATTAACTTTATTGAAGTTTACCTTTACCCTGTTTAATGTAATATTGCTCATATTCACCAATTTAAAATGATTCCTCATCAGCTATTGAGGATGAGGAAATAAATGCTTTGGCCAAAATAGAGCACTGATGACCCTAATCCCCTATGGAATTTAAATTATATAACTTATTTGTATGATTTCAGTAACTTTCTTCTTATGAAAAAAGTAAAAGAATTAGTAATATTTTCAGAAAAATAAGAATTTTTCTGAAACTATGTTTTGAAAGATGAATTATTTTGGTCTGATTTATTTTTATTAAAGGCATATAGATGAAAAGGGAATCCTAATATTTTAATTATCAATCCTTTGTCATAATTTCTTATAAAAGTTCAGGCTTATTTGATTATACTTAGAAATTAAATATGAGGAGATATAGTTAGATGCTTAGGCAAGATTTCTTACTGATCATTTCTCTCTATTTGTATTATGAGCTAATTGTAATACTTACATAGGTCAGAGGCAATGGATTTAAGATAACATTTTTCCTTAAGGGATGACTAGATTTCTTATATAATACATAACAGTATTATTGCAGTGATTTTCTTGAGTTTTTAACCAGGGTTGATCATACTGTGTTTTTGAAAAGAAAAATTGACTTGACAATTAATAATTGTCAAGTCACCTTTCCTAAGTTAGAGTCAGTGTTTTTTAATCTAATATTGTCTGTGATTCCAAGTGGAGTGATCAGAAGATCAAAGAATTCATAGAGCTAAATGCGTTAAAAAGAAGTAGCAGAGGCTAATAATATAGTCAGAGGGGGGAATCACTTTTCCAAAAGACTCCCACTCTGGATCTCTATAAATTTCCCTTTGAGATTCCCTTTAAAAAATTATAAGATTCACTCACAGAAATCTGTGAAAAGCAGTGAAAATTGTGGAAAGGTTCCATGTACAATTAACTCAGTTTCTTCCAGTGTTTAAATCTGAAACTATTTGTTTTAAAACCAAGAAGCTGACATTGGTAACAATGTATGAATAGAGTTCTATGTAATGTTATTATTATATTTGTAGATTAATGTAACCACCGCCTTAACCAACATATAGAATTATTCTATTATGCTCACTGGGGCTACTATTCCTTTATAGTAACTTCAACTCCTACTATCAGTAACTTTGGCAGACATTAATTGTTATTTTTTTCTCTATCATTTCATCATTTTGAAAATTCCTTTTTTTGGTTTTTGGGCCATATCCAGTTGTCCTGGTTCTGTACTCAGTGATTATTACTGGCAGAGGTTGGGTGACCCTATGTGGTATAGAGGAACGAACACGGGCTGGCTGCATGCAAGTCAAGTGCCTTTTTTGGGTACAATCTATCAAGCCCTGATGTTGTCATTTCGAGAATATTATATGAATAGAACCATTGTGCATGATCATATGAGATTGGCCTTTCCCCATTCAGTATAATGTTTTTGCAACCTATTCAGGTTACTGTGTTTGGCAATATGATAATCCTTTAATTGCTAGTAGCATTCTGTGGTTTGGCTATACCAGCTTAATCCTTATTCCACTGAAGAACATCTAAGTTGTCTCGAATACAGGCTGTTATAATTAAAACTTGTTAATATTTGAGTTTTGGTGTAGATGCAAATTTTGATTTATGTGGGATAAATTTCTTTAAGTGCAATTGCTGTGTCATATGGTAAGCATATTTTAGGTTTTAAAGAAAGTCACAAACTATTTCCAGAATGTCTATGTTGTTTCACATTTCCAGTAGCAATGACTTAGAGAAACAATTTCTCTGCATCCTTGCCAGCATTTGGTATTGTTAATATTTTTTTTATCTTAGATGTCATAAAAGATGTGCAGAGTTACCTTTATCATGGTCTGGATAGACATTTCTCTAAGAATTTCCATGCATTTACTTGCCATCTATATATTCTCTTTAGGGGTTCCTCTTCATGTGTCTTGCCTTCTTAATGCTATAATTTTTAGACTTTCTCATATGTTTTATATATAAACCCTCTATTACATGTGTTTTGAAAATATATCTTCTCTATATGAAACCTTAAAAACTCCCTTTGGCAGGGTCTTTTCTAGAAAAAAAGTTTAAAATTTTGTTGAAGCCCTGCTTACCATTTTTTCTCTTATGGATTTTGGTGTTATGTCTAAGAATTCTTCACCTAATTCTGGTTTTGGTCCTGAAGATTTCCCCTCATAATTTCTTCTAAAAAGTTTTTGATTTGGTGTGTGTGTGTGTGGGGAGAATTCCTAGAAATGCTTAGGACTTATTCCAGGGGCCATATGGGATACTGGGGATTAAACCCAGGTTGACCATGTGCAAGGCAAGTGCCTTACCCACTGTACTATCTCTCCAACCCCACTTCTAAAAGTTGTAGTTAAATATATTGCGAATTTTGAAATAAACTTTTGAGTAAGGAGAGAAGTTGAGATTAATGCTTTTTTTTGCATGTAAATGTCTCTTTTTAAAAAATTTTTATTAGTGAAACACCATGAGGTACAGTTGTAGATTTACAATTTTTTGTGCTTGGGTTTCGATTATACAATGATCAAATACCCATCCCTCCACCAGTGCCCATTTAATGCTTTTTTTTTAAAATGAGTGTTCTACTGCTCTAGCACCACTTGTTGAGCTATCCTTCCTGTATTGAACTGCTTTTGTATTTTATAGAAAGTTAATTGGACAGACTTCTTTGAATTTACTTTTGTATTATCCATCCTATTCCTTTGAGTTATGTGCCTATTCTTCCATCAAAATTATAGAACATTAATTACTATAACTATAGAATAAGAGGAATAATTCCTTCTAATTTATTATTATTTCCACCCCCACCCCCTCAAGTGTTGGGCTGGAGAAATAGCTCAATGGTCTGAGCACATGTTTTACACACAGGAGGCCTAGGTTTCAACCCAGGCACTAAGCCATCAATAGCCCTTGAGCACCAAAACAAAAAGCAAACAACATTGTTTTAGCTATTCCTGTTTATTTGCCTTTCCATATAAATTATAGAATAAACTCATCTGCTTTGAGAAAATCTTGCTAGGATTTGTAGTAAAAATTACATTATATCTATATAGCAGATGGAATAAAACTATTTACTATATTAAGCCTTCTAAATAATAGACATGATATAGCTTTCCATTTATTTAATTTTTTTTGATTTATTTCAGAATTTTGTTGTCTTCAGGGTGTTTTATTATACTTATACCTAAGAATTTAACTTTATTGAACTTATTGAATTAATGGAAATGTAGTTTTCAGTTTCACCTATTTATTGCTAGTGTGGGCTGGAGTGATAGCACAGCGGGTAGGGCATTTGCCTTGCATGCGGCCGACCCGGGTTGAATTCCTCCACCTCTCTTGGAGAGTCCAGCAAGCTACTGAGAATATCCCATCCACACAGCAAAGCCTGGCAAGTTACCCATGACGTATTCGATATGCCAAAAACAGTAACAACAAGTCTCACAATGGAGATGTTACTGGTGCCCGCTCGAGCAAATCACTGAACAACAGGAGGACAGTGCTACAGTGCTATTGCCAGTGTATAGAAAAACAAGTGATCTGTGTATACTGATCCCATAATCTTGTTGATTAACTAGTTAGTTCTGTGATGTAAGATTACCTGGGATTTCCCCCATTTTATATATAGATATTTTATAAAAACATACATAATTATCAGTCTATTGATGCAAATGCCTTACCTGTTTGAATGCACTATAGAAAATTCAAAATTCAAATTAAGTCTATTTATCAACCTGTGTTTAGAATATAATTATCTTAAATATTTTATCTATATACATTAACAACCATATCAGATGTTTTTTCAACTGGCAAACACAATTTAGGAAACTCAACATAATCTTCATTTTTTTTCATAATTTCCATTATAATTCAATAACTTAATTTTAATCATTTGGTTAAGATAGGTGTGAAGGCATTAAATTCTTTTAATTTTTACTCAGATGATAATATCTTATTCTATTCCTTAAAGATATACAATATATATTTATATATATGCACATATATGTAATTTTTTTTGAGCCACACCTACTTGTGCTTGGGGGCTATTCTATGCTCTAGAAACCTCATAGCTGCTGCCAGGATAAGTGAACAAATGTAGATATACTCACCACAAAGGGCAGGATGCATTCATGCTGGTTTTGTACAAGGTATAAGCTGAAGAGAGACATGCGACTGGGGCCCATCAAGTTGCAAGCTAGAGAAAAAAAGTTCTGCAGAGCCTCACAGAGATTGGAACAGATGTCAGCCCAGGATGGTAGAGTAATATGGACAATGAGAATCCTTGGAGGTTGCTGGTGAATTTGCATAGCAGTAGAGGGCTCTTTACCAGTTCGTCCAGGATGCATGGCAGCCAGACCAGAGGTGGAACTGCAGGTATTCTCCACACCTGGAAGGAAGAGAAGAGAAATCACTGGCTTTTGTAAGACTGAATTATACCATTTGTTGGAGCAGTGACCATAAGTATAGGGGGATACTTACAGAAAGGAACTGAACTGAATACTAATTTAAGCATGTCTCTGCTATTAAGTGTGAACAGTTCTCAAGGGATCTAGATATTTGCTTGTACTGTAAGACAGTATGCTTAGAGAGGAGGCTGGGTGGGTTTAATTAAAAAGTTACACAAAAGCCATACTTCAATCTTATAGTAAGCTATCTTTTCTAATAAGTTTTGCTTTTTCTGGATTATTGTTTTGGGGACCACACCTGGTGATGCCCAGGGGTTGCTCCTGGCTCTGCACTCAGGAATTACTCTTGACCATGCCTAGGGGACCATATAGGATGTTGGGGATCAAACTGGGTTTGGCTGCAAGCACTCTATTTGCTGTACTATCTCCCCAACCCCTAAACTTTGCTATTTTATTAACATTTTGGTACTGTATTGTAATTTGTTTCTCAAACTGTACCTCTGCTATATTGTGAGGTTTTCAAGGGTGGAGAATTTATTTTTTATCAACTCTATCAGTGCTTTAGAGTTATTTAATTTGACAAGAGCAATTTTTTAAAAGAAAGAAAATATAACTGTTTTCATCCTGACTGTCCCCATTACTTATAAATTCATACTTTCTTCAAGCATAAAACTTTTAACCTTAACTTTACTATAGGCTATTCTTCACAACAAAAATTTCCCTGAAATATATCGAACATACCATTCCCTTCAGTGTAATTGCTCATGCTTTTTTCTCTGCTCCTGATACCCTCCTTTACTGGTTACTTACATATATCCCCAGGGTTCAGATTAGCAGAGAAGAATGAATAAAACATAAAACTATTACTGGAAGTGAGAAGAGGACAGCATTATAAATGACTAGACATAGACATATATCCCTAGAAAGGGATATATAAGGATATCCCTTTTTGTCAATATGTTTGAGAAGTTCCCCTCAAAACTAAGTAACAAAGAAAAATTAAAAACCACAAGATTGGGGCCAGAGTTATAGTATGGTGGGTAGGGCATTTGCCTTGCAACCTGGGTTCAATCCCTGACATCCCATATGGTCCTCTGAGCACCACAAGGAGTTATTCCTGAATCTAGAGCCAGGAGTAACCCCTGAGTATTGCTGGGTGTTACCCCTCACCCTCCCCCACACCCAGAAAATAAAAATCACAACATTGTACAGCTATTGAAAAAAAATAATTTGCTGTCTGGTGAGTAAAATGGGTAGTGTGCTTGCCTTACATGCGGCTGCCTGGATTCAGTCCCCAGCACCACATATGGTCCCCTGAGCCCCATGAGGAGTTATTCCTGAGTGCAGAGTCAGAAGTACTGAGAACCTCTGGTTGTGGCCCCGAAACTAAACAAACAAAAAAGAAACCCAATTTTAATTTGTCATTTAATAAATTTTCAGAGTTAACTACATGGCTAGATAATTCCAATAATTTTCATCAGACACTCAATGCCAATAATTGAAAACTTAATTTATATATTTATGATCTATTTATATGCTTATTTATGCAGAGTTAACATCGGTTTACATCATTGTATGTTTCAGGAGTGCTTTTTCAGGTCTCTTTAAAAGTGAGTTGTCAGACGAGATCGGGCGCGTTCAGGGTGGTATGGCCATAGACAAGTGACATCTGCACTTGTTTGTTCATTGCAGCACTCTTTACAATAGTCAGAAACTGGAAGAAACCTGAGTGCCCAAGAATAGATGACTGGTTAAAGAAACTTTGGTACATCTACACAATGGAGTACTATGTAGCTCTTAGAAAAGATGAAGTCATGAAATTTACATACAAGTGGTACAATATGGAAAGTATCATGCTAAGCGAAATGAGTCAGAAAGAGAGGGATAGACATAGAAAGATTGCATTCATCTGGGGGATATAAAGTAACAAAGTAAGAGATTAATACCCAAGAATAGCTGAGATCAGCACCAGGAGGATTACTCCATAACTTAGAGGCCAGCCGGGTATCCTAGAGGAAAGGGCAGTTCAGATAGAGAAGGGAGCACCAAATAAAGGATGTTTGGAGGATCCTCCCAGGAGGGGAGATGCATGTCGAAAGTAGACTATGGACTGAACATGTTTGCCACTCAATGCCTCTTTTGCAGACCACAACACCCAAAAGGAGAGAGAGAACACAGGGGATTGCCCTGCCACAGAGACAGGGGGGATGGGGGGGATGGGGGTGGGAGGGATATTATCCATGGTGGTGGAAAATGGGCACTGGTGGAGGGATGGGTATCTGATCATTGTATAATTGAAACCAAAGCACAAAAAATTGTAAATCTACAACTTTAAAAAAAAATAAAATACAATAAAGGGAAAAAAAAAAAAGTGAGTTGTCAGGGGCTGTAGCAATAGCACAGCGGGTAGGGCAATTGCCTTGCAAGAGTTTGCATTTGCCTGGATTTGGTTCCCAGCATCCCATATGGTTCCCCGAGTACCGCCAGGAGTAATTTCTGAGTGCAGAGCCAGAGCCAGGAACCCCTGTGCATCACTGGGTATGACCCAAAAAAAGCAAAAAAAAAAAAAAAAAAAAAAAAAAAGAAGTGTGTTGCCACACCATGCATATTATCAAAATGCTGTAACTCTCCATCACTGTCTATTAGACCCCCTCCACTACTGTGTGTCCCCTACATCCTCCACAGAATTCTAGTGCTGTGGTCTGAATCCAAGAATACTGAAAGTCTAAGCAAAAGAAATTAGGCAAGGAAAAGAAAGGAAGTCCAAATTGGAAAGATATTAAAACTATAGTTTGCGGGTTGCATGATAATATATCTGTAAAATCCCCCAAACTCCATTGAAATTACCCAGCAAAATGGTAGGCAATGAAAATCAATACGCAAAAACATTTTTTTTTGTAGGCTAGGAGGGATATAGAGAAATACCTTCTACCCAATCATCTCTCCCAGCTTATGTCTTAATGTCCCAAAGTTTAATTACCAGAACAGGGAAACAGCCCTGAATTAGCCTCAACACTTTGTCAAAAAAAAACAACAACAACATTTTAGATAAAAGAAATACGCCTGACCTCTGGGAACTAACATACCTTTTTTTTTTTTTTAAGATTACAGGGAAAGAGGCTAGGGATGTAGCTCAGTGGTAGAGCACTTGCTTTGCATATGTGAGGCTCTAGGTTTGATCACTGGCACTACAATAAAAAGTTTCTTTGATTTCCCCTGAATTCCATAGAGATATTAGTAATTTTAGTAATTAGTAATTTTTTAAAGTTTTGAAACTTAGAATCTTTTAAAATCTTTAAAAATGACATGAGTATACATGTCAAAACAAATGTGTTTCTCAAAAACGAATTTGTAAAGTTTAAACTTTTCTTTTTGTATAACATGTTTATTAACATAAAAAAATTAAGTACTATTTATATGCTGGGTACACCTGAACAAATGCATGAGCCACTACTCTGTTAAAAATAACCTTGAATCCCAAATCTTAAATAAAAAACTTACCAAGAAAACACCTATCATAAGTATTTTCTAACTGTACTTTAAAATTAAGTTCATGGGACCAAAGAAATGCTGAATGTGAGGTGGACTTATAGACAGATTCATGGAGATAAATAGATAAATAGAGATAAATAGGCTTTATGTATTGAAGAATAAATTTTTACTCTCCCTGTCCATTTTTCTTCAAATTTTGAACTCTTGCCTTTTTAGAGTATAGGCAACTCTCTATATTCTAATGATTCTAATATATACATGGCTCTAATATGTACACATCTCAGTTACTGAGTCAGTTAAGTGACACTATTTATCCAACAACACAGTTCAAATTTCAGTTGCTTTGGAATCCTGAGTAATTATGTAAAGTAGAAATCACAGCTAGCTCTTTAGCCTGCAAATCACTTCATAAATACCAGATGTACATCACAATCTGTGAATAATTTTGTCACTTCTTTCAAAGTTTATCACTGACTGGTTAGTGTATATCCCTTATTAATTTTAAGCAAAACCCAGAAAAATGTGTAGTATTTTGCCCTTTTGTAATGATATACATGTGACATTTTACAATACATGACATAATCAGAAGAGGAAATTAGCTAACAGATAAAAGTGTAGTAAAGAATGGACAAGTGATACTGTTGAAAATGAAATTTGAATGCAACATGGAAGGAATTATAAAAGAAAAAGCTGTAAGAATACTGACAATGACATAATTTGATAGACTTTCAAACAGCTAGAGGAACTTAGGTAAGGTAAAACGTTTCAACATATTGCGTAAAGTGATTGTGACAGAAAGTGACAGGAAAAAGTAGACTTGGTAAGAAAAATCATACTTAAAGAAATTCCTGGCGATATTTTACAAAATTAAAAGCACAGAGGCTAACCCAAATTTACAAGGGAGTATAACGAATTACTAAGACACTGAAAGAATAATTACTCAATCATTAAGTTAGAAAACGACAAGTCAAGCACTGCAAACTACTCTTCGAAAAAACAAATCAATAAGACTTTAATTCTCAATGTTCATAATGTTTTAAATAAATTAAGTAGACAATAGCTAGCTACTTTCATTTCTTTCCTTTTCAGCAGTAAAGAGATTTGAAACTCTTGACAATTCTGAGAAGTCAGATTGTTTCTTCCATCATTTTTGATTGGTTTCAGCTTACACACTTGCACGAAATTCCAAGAGTGTATTTTAGTTTTGGTGTGTTTTTATTTTTGGAGGGCGGTATACCAGGCTGTACTACTTGACTCTGTGCTCAGCACTCCTGACAGTGCTCAGGGGACCGTATGTGGTGTCTGTGGTCAAAAGAGGGGGTCTGCCATTTGCAAGGCAAATCTCTTACCCTGTACTATCTCTCTGCCCGCCCCCCACCCCCCGGCTGTATTTTAAATAAAGAGGCAACAACTTTTCCAGTATCCTCAAATATGATCAATTAATGCTGATCAATTAATTATGTTCTTCTGGACATAACACCATACAGGGGCTGACATTTTCTCATCCTACATGCTCCAGTTCGTGTGCATTGTCGTTTGAGGGCACACCTTGTGGTAATCCAGGCTAGGTAGGGAAGGAGGGTCACCACCAGCAATGCTCAATGGTCACCTGTAGGAAAGGGGCCCACCCACCTTATTTCCTTCCGTGCCCACTTCCAAGCCCCCGCCCCGCCCCCCACCCTACAGACTGGTCCCCTGGTCAGTGCGGTCCTCCCGCTTCCACAATTTTCACCCGTGGCCCTAGGACTATGCTGGAGACTCTGGGGGTCCGGGGGCATATGGCCCTCTGGTCCTGGGGTCCACGCAGGTCACCGGGACAGAGACAGGCAACGCGCGTGTCTCCGTCCTCGGAGCGATGCGTGGGTCCCGCCACTCACCACCTGAACCAAGAACAGCCCCTCACACTGTCCCACCCGGCTCTGGACGGTGGACGCCCACAGGCTCGCGGCTCTCCCTCCCAGAGACCCCCGTCAACGGCGCCTCCCACGACGCGGCGGTGGGGAGAGAGCTGAGGCCGACCCCGAAGTGACCTGCCGCCAGCGTCGCCCCCGGGTGCCCTTCGAGCCCACAAACCCGTCCTGGACGTTCTTTTCCAGAACCTTCCCCTCCTCAGGGGAAGCCTCGCCTCAGGCTTCACAGACCCTCGCGCCTAGACGCGCGCTCACAAAGTGCATCTGACGGGTTCCAATTGACTATTTTCGTTTTTTTTTTTTTTTTTTGGTCACACCCAGCGATGCTCGGGGGTTACTCCGGGCTCTGCACTCAGGAATCGCTCCTGGCGGTGCCTGGGGATGTCGCGGACCGAACCCGGGTGGGCCGTGTGCATGCAAGGAAAAGCTCTGCCCGCTGTACCATCGCTCCGCCCCCTTGTCTTTTGTTTGTTTTTTTGTCAGTCGAATATTTTCTTTTTTTTGTCAGTCGAATATTTTCGAGTTCCCGTCGCCCCCCCAACGTTGTGCGCCTTCATCAGGCCCCGCTAGGCTGAGGGGACGCCGCACCTGCCTGAGGCGGCCCCGCGCTCGCCGAAGCCCACCCTTCTGGGCGCCGCCTGCTGCTGGAGGCTGTCCCCTGTCTCCCCGCGAGCCCCCGGGTCTTTTCTGGGGACCCAGGAGCGGCGAAGGGGGGAGGACGCCCCCTTTCTCGGGAAGGCGGCGCGGCGACCAGCGGACACCGTCGGCTCTCGGCTCGCGCGCCTGCGCGGCCCAGGGCGCCCCCTGCAGGCTGCGGGCGGCGGCGGGGGGGCGGGGCGGGGCGGAACGGGCGGGGCTAGATGGGACGGAGTGGGCGGGGCGGGGCGGGGCGGGTTGGGCAGGGCTCCTTAGGTAGAATTGCGTGACCTTTCCTCGTTAGTTACATTCATCTCTTGGGGAACATTCTCTGGTGACTTTCTCCAAGTGAGGACCTCATGCCACGAATTGATGGGAGTACAAATGTGGTCTGCAACCAGCATTTAATGAGAGAAACAGCACTATACTAGCTAAATATACTACACTATACTATTAAAGACAAAAAGAAATGAAAACAGAAGTGCATACTAAAGTATTAAAACACTCGATCAAAGAAACAATAAAAGATAACAAAACCGAAAATGCCCGGATTTCATTCCTGGTCTAAAGCGAAGCAGAACGTAAGTATGATTTTGAGGAAAGTTTTTTTTTTTTCCCCACTAATAGGAACCTGTGCCTTGGGACCGGGGAAATAGCTCAAGAGTCAGAGACCAAGCAATTTGAATCAGGAACCATGTTTTAAGGCACTTCCCCCACCTCCCCATTAGCAAAATGCCTAGCAGCCTATATGCACTGTAGACCTATACTGAATGAATAAATTAGAGCTTGCACTTTAGCGAAAGAATTGCTTTAATGGTAAGTGAAAGATTTGGAGGCAGGGCTTTTATTTATTTTTTTATTTTAATATGAAAAAAGAAAATAGAAGTAGGGAGCCAGAGCTAGTACAGTGGGTAGGGCACTTTCATTGCACATGGTGTACCTGCATTCAGTCCCTGATATCTCACAAAGTCCTCTTAGCAGTGCCAGGATTGATCCCTGAGCACAGAGCCAGGAGTAACCCCTGAGCATTACTGGGTGTGACCCACCTCCCGTTACCCCCCAAAGGAGGTAACACCGTGAGTTTCTGGAGAGTTGGGGGTGGTGGAAGTTTGGGGGAGGAGTGACTGGGTTCACTCCTAGCAATGCCTGTCCCAGTGGTTCTCTCTATTCCAGTATTACCAGGGCTGTCTCTCCCCGTGGCACTGAGGGTGGTGGTGGGTGTCATGTAATGTCCAAGAATCAAACTCAGGGCCTTGTACTTGTATGCATGTGCTCTATCACCTGGGTTACCATCCTCCTTTTAGTTAAAATATTATATAGTGTAGGTGTCTAGCAATGATAAAGTCCTGAACTATGAAAATAATTGGGGTAAGTAGAGAGAGTATAGCAGGTAAGATACTTGTCTCGCATGTGGCTGATCTGGATTTGATCCCTGGCTTCCCATATTGTCCCTGGAGCACCCACAGGAATGATTTCTGTGTGCAGAGCCAGAAGTAACCCCTTAGCATCTTTGGGTATGGCCCACAAACCAAAGGAAAAAAAATAATGGAAAGATAAGGACAGATTTAAGTTAGTTATGAGGCAGAAGATCATCAGAACACTGTCATTGGTTAAATATGGAGGTGGATGCCAGTCTTCAAGATGGTCCCTTGAAATTCTCCTTATACTTCCCACAGTGCATCAGGGTTGGCCTATGTGACCAACAGAATATGGCAGAAGCCATTCAACGTGATTGCTTTGATGGAAGCTGCTCCATTTTGTTAAATTCTGGTCATTCCATGGAAAGATCCATGTGGAAAGGAACTTAAACTTATCAGCTGACATTGATTTGCCAGGCATGTGCATAACTCATCCCGGACATCCTGGGAAGTAGATCCTCCAGCACCAATCAAGCTCTCAGGTGACTGCAATCCCGTTTGGTACCCCACTGGAAAAATTCTCCCTTCATCTTTGTTTTGATGACTGGGGTGGCCCACACTTACACACCTGCCAGCTTGTGGTGCTCACACATTTCTTTTTAAATTTTTTTAAATTTTATTTTAATAAAGTTGTTCACAATAATTTATTCCATTTAATATTCAACATCTATCCCACCACCATTGCACCTTCCCACCACCATATTTAGAATGTTTCCACCTCAAATCCCAAATTGTGATCCCCAAAGGAGAATCAAACAATTCATTTTGTATTGCTTGTTATGAATAATATGCTAAAATAAACTTTCCTTAGAGGAAAGTGTGTGGAGATTGTTGTATTTCATCCTGGATCCATTAAATCCTTGGGGGAAGAGATTACCTACATGTTACTTAAACCCCATCAAATGTTGTCTGCTACTCTTGGTACATCAGTGGTGTAGAGTATGAGAATTAGCACGCCTGCAAATGAGGCTGCGTGCTCCAGAAATTCTAAAATTTAGAATATGATTATACAGCAGATTTACTCATGGGTGAGGTCATTCATAGGGCTATATGATGCCGCGGCAGTTTTTGGGTGTGAATGCCAAGCTACTGGTAAACTTGGAAGATGGAAGGAGGAAGCCCATTCCCACTCTGAGCAAGCTTGGAGATTTCAGTCACAAGTCCCATATACCTGTTTTTTCCTGCAGATTCACCCACGGGTGAGGCTCATCTGAGCCTGTGGAGAGCAGCCATGAGCATGGGGATGATTGAGTTCTGGAGGTTTTCGGCTGCTGAGGCTCTGTTGGGGTGGAAAGGGAAACTCACCTGTCCCCCTTCGAGTGCCCCTGGTTAAGATAACCTGCCATGGGGTCTGGAGGGAATCTCTGTGGCATGTCGTTCTGTGTTGCTCTCTTCTGGGAGCTTTATTTCTAAGTCTCACTCACACATTTCTATCTGTGCTGATCACCAGGAGGCACACAAGAGGTTGTGGTGCCTGGACACATGGCCGCCGTGCTCACCAAGATTTGCTCTCCTTTTTAAAAAAAATTAATTAATTAATTAATTTTATTGAATTAATGTGAAAACAGTTACAAAGCTTTCTGGTTTTAGTCTCGGTCATACAATGATCAAACACCCATTCCCTTCACCAGTGCACATGTTCCACCACCAAGAACCCCAGTTTACCCCCCACCCTCTGCCTGTGTGGCAGATGATTTTCACTATGCTCTCTCTTTACTTTGATTACATTCAGTTTTTTGACAGAAGACCCACTGTTATTATTTGGAACTTTCCCCCAACTATAAGACCAGCCGAAAAGTCATCATTAGATAATTTGTTTTCTATTGCTGATAATGAAGAAGTTTTGCTCTCCTTTGATTGTGGTGCTTGTGTATACTCTTGCCAGAGGTCATACTCTTAGTTGAGGCACACCAGTTATGGTTTTGTTTCTCAACAGTGGTCACTTGGTACTCACACATGTGTTTGCTAGGGGTCACATTTCCTGGCCATAATGCTTGCATACCCTGGACCAGAGAGATAGTACAGTGTGTAAGGCACTTGTCTTGAACGAAGCTGAACTGGGTTCAATCCCTGGCATCTCATATGATTCCCCAAGCATTGTAAAGAGTGATTCCTGAATGCAGAGCCAGGATGTAACTGAGCATCATTGGGTATTGCCCAAAAATTAACAGAACAAAAAAAATATGGTGCTGGCACATCTTTCATTTTAAATGTGGAGCTTCATGAGGGTTGCACCATATTTACAAACAGTACAGTAAAAAAAAATCCCTTGTGGAATTGGGGATGGCAGAGAGCAGAGCTTCTAGGATGGTGCTCAAAACATGTGGGCATGGGGGACTTGAATTCATGACTATATATTTGCAAGATAGGTGCTTTAAGCCACTGTGCCATTCCTTGTCTGCTTCTATTTAGTATCTTGAGTATGGCCACATAAAAAAACTGGAAGCCAGGCCAACTAGCTAATTACTGAATTCTTAAGACAGGGATACTGTGGGAAATAATGAATATTTACTGTGCCAATAAATTATAATTTTAATGTATGTTTGTTACATGGTATAGATAACAATATAATGGGGAATAAAGAGGACAAAGAAGGACTGGAAGTCAGAGGATTAAGTATTTGATGAAGCAGAGGCTGAGATACAAGTGATAGTGAATTATGCCCAGTCCCTATATTGGTCTTGAGTGCAGAAAATTCAAGTGGATATATCTAGGAGCTTTCTTGTGCAGACTTTGTGGGTCAATATAGTGGAGGAAATATGAAGAACTCATTGCAAATGTCACTTCTGCAACACTTATTACACACTGTAATAGCAGATACTAAGCAGTAATGGGATACCTGAACTTACTCTGAGTACTTAAAAATAACCTGGATGTAAATATGTTCCACCCTGCCATTTATTTGGATCTTTGACTCTTTGGGTCCCCAGAAGAGCTTAGGGGACTGTGTTGTGTCTGGGCTTGAAATTGGCCTCCTGCTTGCAAAACTTGTGCTCCAGTCCTTTGAATCATCTTGCTGGCCTCTTGAACCTGTTTTGAATCTAAATTTGATATCAACAAGGGCATGAATGGTGAAACTCCAAGACAGATGATTGACACAAAACCATCTTTTGCTGTAAACCACTGTGAGCCAAACAAGGGCATTATCTTCTAGCAGTCCATATCAGAGCAGCGAGCTCTGAGAGTGAGATAACATCTTTAGATTCTCAGGGCTCTGTACCTAAGGATGCTGAAACATCAGAGACTTCCCTTCCCACCCCTCTCTGACTCTGAGGCTCAGCTCACCTCCTGGTCTTTGACTCTTTGACCAGCTCCTAGAGCTTGCTCTGTGTGTGTGTGTGTGTGTGTGTGTGTGTGTGTGTGTGTGTGTGTGAATCTGATGGTTGTTGAATGTTCAGCTATTACTAGCAGTGCCATTTATTGCTTGACTTGTGGGCTGTGAGCACTGTGGTTAGTGCTGGTACTCTACTATAGCTCACATTGTGGAAAGACATATCTTCAGTGTTGTGTTTCACAAGGACCACCACAACAGTGCCACTCAAGAAAAGGAGTGACTTCATAATATCATTATCTATTTGCAGTTATTTGTTTACACCTTTACCTTATTACACTGAGCTCCCCAAAGTCAAGGACCATACCTTTGTGTATACTTCTAATTTTTTGTTTGTTTTGAGTTATGCCTTGCACATAGAGAACCTTCATTAAATGCTTGTGAAAATAATCACTCTGAGAATCACTTCCCTGCAAATATTCTCTATAAACACTGGCATTAGGGGCACCTCTTGGAGATACTGGATTGATCCCACCCTCCCTCCCATAACCTGTCTAGCCCCGCCTTTAACTGGGTTGGGCCGCTCTTCCATTAGCTCCGCCTCCACTCCACACCGATTGGCTACAGGAGGAAAATCAGCTCAATCATTGGTCTCTTCTCCAGCCCGGGTGGAGCCAGGTTGCCCTGGGCTCGACAGCTGCAGGCCGAACCTGGCCGAAGAAAACCGAGAAGGAGAGATGCCCACGGCGTCGTGCCCCAGAGCTGAGGCGACTGGACGAGCCCCACCCCGCGGCCAGGCCGAGCCAGCGATGAGGACCACTGCCGAGCGGCCACGCCCGGGTCCTGGGCCGCCTCCGGTGTCGCCCTTACCGCTGCTGCTGCTGGCGGTGCTCAGCGGCCCGGTGTCCGGCCGCGTCCCGGGCTCGGTGCCCAGGGTCTCGCTGTCTATCTCGGGTAAGGTGCGGGCATCCTCTCCCCATCCCTTCTCGGCGCGCTCAGGCCCCTCCCGCAGTGCCCACACCCATCTGCCTTCTCGTCCCCCCAGCGACTGCGCCGCATCCCGAGCCGCCCACGACCCCCGATCTCAGAGGGCTGCAGGGGGCTGCTCCACCGCACCCCCAGGTCCGGCCTCCCTCCCCTTGCCGCGCCCAGGTGGTTCCCGCGGCCCCGAATGCTCAAAAGCGTGGGAGAGGGAAGCCCCGTGTCACCGAACGGAATCAGGAACCGAGGCCCAGGGAGGGCGCCGGGACTGCCCCAAGTCATTCATTTCGAAGTTCCCTCCTAATCCTCTACTGCTCCCACACACTTGTGTCCACCACGCCAATTTGACCAGCCTGTTCTGCTTCAAACCCACCTGTCTTTTCATTCGACTCCACCCCGTCCTTCTGATGCCGGGCGCAGCACTTCCATCTGACCCCCTCTTCCTATCCATTCTCTCACCACCCTTCTCCTGCTCTGCAAGTCTTTTGCCCTATTCATACCCCTATGCATTTTGGGGGACAAGGGGGCCTCACGGGGGCAGCTCAGGGACTCCCTTAATTTTCTTAAATCACTTCCCGGTCCTTTTACATCTCTGATGACAACTCTTGACCCCCTTTATTTTGTTCATGCATTTACCATCCTCTGTGACCCCCCTAACTTCCTCAGCCTCCCTCTATTCAACCCTCACATTAAATGTTGAGAAACTATTCAGTGAACTGGTTTAAAATGTTGTTGAAATCATTTTTTGTTTTAATCTTCAGAAGGAAAAAAAGGGAAGAGGGCAATATGGTCCTTTAAAAAGATATAGAAGAGGCCAGGAGGAAGTCACGAAGTTAACTGTAGTCATGGAAGGGTCATGGGGGTGTGAAAGGGGGCATCAACCATGGGTCTAAGGGTTGAGGCCTCGGTTGATGGTTGGAGAGATAGCACTGCCAGGAGTAAGCTCTGGGCACTCCCTGGTGTGCTACTTCCCCCTGCCAAACTAAAGTAAAATGAGAAAAATGGTCATTGGAATGATTCACACTTTAAACACTTTCTGCTAAGGTGGGCATGACCTTGTTTTCTTTCCAGTGGGTACTTTGCACCGATAGAATCAATGAGGCCAAGAGTACAGCTGGTTGACAAAAACTGTGACTGGGAAGTAGTAATTTAGATTTCATTTTCAGACCAGTATTGTGAAGAGGTGCTGTGGATTCAGGAGACCAAGTTGTGGTCAGAGCATAAGGTCTGAGGCTTTAGTGCTGGGGCAGTAGCTACGGAACGGAGTTGAGGTTGGCAGGTTGGGTTGATGTCCTAGACTCCAGAGAGGTCTAGATGGCAAGGTAAAATGGAACTGGATCTAGTAGTGGAGGTTGGGTGAGCCAGGGCTTATTCAAAGCACAAGAGAGTGGGTGGGATGTAACACAGTCATGAGTATGCTTGTAGGAGGATGGGTAGGTGGCACTCCATATGAACACATCTAGGAATGAGTGGCTTGGCCATTATGTCAATTTGGAGAGGAACTAAACAGATAAAGCTGGTAGAACCAAGTTATATTAGTGCAGGAATAGGAACTCCAGAGTGGAAAAGGTAACAATCATGCTATCTTGCTGGTTACTAGTCTTGAAAGCTAATATGAAGCTATTGTTACACTAACATGGAGGAAAGAAAAACAGTCATTTGTGAAACCTGTTATATGTGTCAGGGCCTCCCATATTCTTCTTTCTTCCACGTTTGGGCCTTGAAATATTTACTTTTTTCCCAGTAATCCTGCATGGTGAAGTTTACAGATGAGATAAGTGATATCTGGATAGGACAAGTAACTTATTCAAGATCATTTTGCTGGTGAACAAAGGAGTCACATTTCAATTCAGGTTGATACATTTCCAGACTTTTATGCTTCTTGTCTACCAATCTCTCTGACTCTATGAGTGGAAAGGGAGCAATCAAGAGGGATATGTGAGAGATGGTGTCTTAGTATGTTGTTGAAAGGAATGAAGCATTTGGATCTGGGCAAATAGCTCAAAGGGTTGATGCCTTGTAGGTATGAGGCCCTAAGTTTGATCCCTATCACTCCATGTCCTCCCAATCACTTAGGTGACCCCTAAGCACTAGTGGTCTGAACTTCACCGTCTTGTTGGGTCCAAGCACCAAACCACTGGACCTGGTGGGAAATGTCTCAGGGAGAAGATCCACGGCCTCTGGGCACTGCTGGGGAGGGCCCTATCCCTGGAATGAAAGGGATAAAACAATGCCATTCTTCGTCAAGTTTCTATTATATAGTGATTAAAAATAGAAAGGGACATACTTGTCCCATCTATAGGTATTTTCAAATTTTGTATTATGTCGCTATGAATAGAAATAACAAAATTAATATTTATGCTATAATTTTAATATAGTGTTCTATTTTTATAGAAAAAGCATACTTCACTAAATTGTGTGCCGAGTGTTCTGACCTCATCAGTTATCTAACTATGATGAAGTTAGAGGTTTGGTCTTTCAAGGTTCTGCTTTTTCTCCTGAAGTCTGCTAAACAAATCCTTGGAAAGAGACTGTAAAGATAATTCAAAGGGCCAAGCTCATTATTTGCATGGGGAGGGGGGCACAGATTTGATCCCTGTCATTAAAAGCTCCCTTGAGCATGGCCAGAAGTGACCCATGGTACGAATTTGGGAGTAGCCCATGAGCACTGTAGGCTGTGTCCCTTGTCCCCAAACTTGGAAGAAAGCAAAACTGATCCCTTTCACTATGACTTTGTGGATCCAATCCTATGAAGCAACCAATGGCTGACATCACTCTCCCCTCTCAACTTCTTTTCCTGCCAGAGGCTGACTCCTATCTCACTCGGTTCTCCGTGCCCCAGAGACACAATTACTCTGTTCTCCTTGTGGATCCTGCTTCCCACACACTTTATGTCGGCGCCCAGGACACCATCTTCGCCTTATCTTTGCCCTTATCAGGGGCACGACCCCGCAGGGTGAGAGTTGAGAGGCGGGGAGGATCTTGGTCCCAAGAGCATGCAACTAGATCTGTGATTTTATGAAATGTGGCTAGGGTGGGTGGTGATGGTGTTCATAAAAATGAAGAGGTAATGTGGTAATACTAAGCAGAGTGTTGATGAGGGGGAGAGCATTTTAGTGTCGCGACTGAGGGGAATGGAAGGGTCAGGGTGACTCCATATGATGGAGAGGAGGCCTCAATAAATAGGGTTCAGATATACGTGGACAAAGAAATCATTAGAATTCATTATGCTTTGACCACACCTCAGAAAGAAATATGGTACATCAGTGTATACTGATACAGAGTATGTCCTGTTAGGGGTTAAGGTGTTTGCCTTCTCTCTTACCCCTGTTCAGTTCCCTGGTGTCACACGTAGTTATAACTGAGCCCTGTCGGGGTCACTGCTGAGCACAGCCAGGAATAGCCCATGAACACCACCGAATGTGACCCCCAAACCGAAATCAAAACAAAACAAAAATCTCCCCAAATAAAAAAGAATTAAGTGTGTACCGAAGGCCAAAGAGATAGTACTGGGGTTAAGACATTTGGTCCCTAGCACTACATATCAAGCACTGTCAGGAGTAACTCCTCCTGTATACAGAGCCAGGAGTAAGCCCTGAGCATCGCCGGCTGTGGCCCTCAAACAAAAAACAAACATGTAAATACAAGACCCAAAACCCCATCTCCCCCTCCCCTCAAAAAAAAAAACTCCCCAAATCTCAAACATGAAACAAAGAAAAGCGTATCCTGGAAGAAACCTTTCTCAAAATATTACTTCTCTATGTAATAGTTACATTGTGTCTCATTAAAAATAATGCTGGTTGTGATTTCACAATTGATTTCTTTACTTATTAATGAGCAGAGATCTCCAGTCTGGAAAACAACACTAATGGGGGGTGGGTGTCAGATTGATGGAACTGTCTCAGCACCTTAACCTGGGAGAAATTTGGGGTAGAATCTGGGGAAAACAGTAACTCCTTCTTTCCTCAGATTGACTGGAAGGTGCCTGATGCCCACAGACAGAACTGTCGGAAGAAAGGCAAGAAGGAGGTAGGTACTAATCTGGACCCTGGCCTGTGTCCATTGTCTTGGGTTTAGCCCTGGTTCTGTCCCCCAGTGCTCCTATCCCAGTGGCCCCAGGCAAGGACTCCTGTCAACTTTGTTCCCAGATGCATCTAATTGTCCTGACATTGCTTCCTTCCCATGTAACCTGCTGCTTCTGATTCTCTCTAACCATTTCTAACCCCCAGGATGAATGTCACAATTTTATCCAGATTCTCGCCATTGCCAATGCCTCTCATCTCCTCACATGTGGCACCTTCGCCTTTGATCCGAAGTGCGGGGTTATTGTGAGTGACAGGGGTGGTCGGATGGGAAGGGTCTTCTGTGAGTGACCATGATGGGGGGCATGCTTCAGGCAATCCTTGTGCATGACAAGTGTCCGGTAGAGGCCTCATAGGGAAGGTATAAAAGAGATGGGGAGGGATGCTGTAGCAATTAAGATATATAGAGTGAAGGCAGGGATGTGGGTAGGACATTGAAGGAAGGGAAGGATGCTGGTTTGGTTGGGGGTGGATAAATACAGGAGAGACTTAACGAGTAATTCATGTTTCTCTTGCTTGGCATATATGCGTTGTCTAGAGGGCCTGCACCCTTTTTCTTATCGGCATAGCTTATTCCTTTTTGGTCTTCCCATGATATGTGAGAATCATCTCTCCCTGCCTTCTCCCACTTCCTCTGCCAGCCTTATTCTCTGTGGAGTGTTATCTTCTGCTCTCATGGCTTCTGATGTTACTTCCTACTTATGTAGCTCCTGCTGGTCCCATTTCTTGGATCTTATTTTCAAGGTGCGCACCCCAGCAACCGTGGTTTCTTCAGATCTTGTCCTAGGTCCTGTTCATTGCTGCTAGAACTCTGGACATAGCTACTCTCACACGCTTGGGACATGTAATACCCCAGTCACATGTAGGCTTGCCACGGCTGCAAAGTTCACGGGCTGGTAGCATCTCAGGAACAGCGGGTAGGGCGTTTGCCTTGCATGCAGCCAACATGGTCGACCCAAGTTCGATTCCTCTGCTCCTCTCGGAGAGCCCAGCAAGCTACCGAGAGTATCTCGCCCGCACAGCAGAGCCTGGCAAGCTACTCGTGATGTATTCGATATGCCAAATACAGTAACAACAGTCTCCGATGGAGACATTACTGGGCCCGCTCGAGCAAATCGATGAACAACGGGAGGACAGTGACAGTGACAGTTCTTCAACTATCAGCTTTTCCTGTCAGTTCCTAAGTTCAGTCACTGATCTTCTTGTAGATTGTGTTTGTGACAAGACCCTGGAAGGATTTGAAGGCCTCATATGTCCTTAGTATTCAGTGACTTTCTGCTAGAAGGGCATTATGAGTGGAACCCCTTTTTCCACTCTTATTCTTGCTGTTGATCTTGACTGGACCCTTATATAAACTGCTTGTCCAAAATACCTTTTCTTTAAGATCACTATCACATTTCTGGCTTAGAATTTTATACTTGTATGTGCCTGATTCCCACTTAGTCTCTCTGGGTTTGGGTTAGTTGGGCTTATTATGCTTATAGTGGCAGTGACAAACTCCCTTATTAGACCTGCATAGTTCAGGTAAGGTAGAGGGTCCAGCTTCTCTGTAGATCTCACAGTGATCCAGGAGTACTTGATCAACTGCTATTGCTGCCCTCCTCCTCTTTCTCCTTCTCCTTCTCCTTCTCCTTCTTCTTTTCCTCCTCCTCCTCCTCCTCCTCTTCCTCCTCCTCTTCCTCCTCCTCCTCCTCCTCTTCCTCCTCCACCTCTTCCTCCTCCTCCTCCACTTCCTGCACCTTCTCCTCCCCCACCGCTTCCTCCTCCTCCTCCTCCTCCTCCTCCTCCTCCTCCTCCTCCTCCTCCTCCTCTTATATGAAGAACAGAACTGTAGCTTATAGACGAAGCATTTTCTCCAGGTTAATCTCCCAGAGCCTTCTATTCTTTCTTGCACTATGAGATGGCACCTAATGGTTGTTAGACAAGTACTGATTGAGAAAATGTCCTGGAAATACCTATTGGAATTGATGTGGTTTGTTCCCATATCCATGAGGAGCATCAACTACAAGAGTGAAATTGAGGGTCTGTGTCCTGCAGTCCCATGATTGTTTACCTCTTTCCTGAACCCTCCTATTTAGTGGGTTCATTAATAGAGGGCCCTTTTTTGTGAAGCCTTGTTCCTAGGAGAGTATCAGGCGTTGACGTACAAAGATAGAGTATATTAATCTTTTAGATCACATTCCCAGTCTGCTTTCCAGACTCTCTGGATACTTTTCTACCTTTATCCTGTCTTGTTCTGCCACGAAGTTGGCTTGAATAATTTCTTGCCGTATTCTTAGTGATAAACTTCTCATATCCTAGTCTTATGGCTTTGAAACCATGCATGGCTATTATTTGAGAGCTTTTGAGTAACTTAACCAGCGTTGATAAGAAATGTTCAGGTTCTTACCACTGAAAGTTCAAGTATTTGGACCTCCCACTTCCAAATGTGAGGTGCTATCCTTCAGTGGCAGCTTCTTGATTATTGGAGGAGAATATTTTAGTTTGTTGAAGGAACTCCTGCAGTTAATAGAGAAAAGTGTTGGATTTATAATAATAATAATAACAATTGCCTTTCAGTTGAGTATAGATTATCTTTGGTTGATGTAGGTACTTTACAGTCACAATTGATCTTCATTCTTATCACCACATCATGATATGTAGATATTATTTACTTCATTTATAGGCTCAGAAACAGGTTTAGAAAAGACAGGTATCATGTCTAAAATTACATAGAGTCTGAGTCAAGAGTCAAACCGAGGTTTGTCTGATTCTGCTTCTTTAACCTGTTCTCTATTCCAGACTGTAACATAGAGAACCTTATCTGGCTTCAATTTCTTGTTATCTCTGACTTATTTGATGTAACAGGTGGCATATATATTTTTCTAGAATCATATAGAAAAGGTTATTTATATGGATTGTATCCTTCCTGGTCAAGACCAGTGGACATATTTCTAACTCTATAGCTCCATGATAATCTTTTTACCTATCTCTGGATTCTAGTTACGGTAACTTGTTTCACTATAACTGATGTTCAGTCTTTGCTGACACAAAATTGAGAGTGAAGGTTCTCAACATTTAAGATAAATTAGCTGAGCATTTCTTGTCCCTTTTGGGTTCTAATTAAATACCTCTTAGGAAAAAAAAGGGCTGGAACAATAGCATAGCGGGTAGGGCGTTTGCCTTGCACGCGGCTGGCCTGGGTTCGATTCCCAGCATCCCATATGGTCCCCTGAGCATCGCCAGGAGTAATTCCTGAGCGCAGAGCCAGGAGTAACTCCTGAGCATCGCCAGGTGTGACCCAAAAAGCAAAGAAAAAAAATACCTCTTTGGCCATACAGTGACCATAGCCTATCTAGTTGATAGGAAGCTCATTTGCGTAAGGGCTATTAAATGATTTATGTGGGTTGGATGAGAACATAAGAATAAATGAGATCTTTGGAGTACATGTCTAATAGATTAAAGGTAAATGATTAGTATATACAGGCTAGTAAGAAGAACAATCAAAGGAGTTAGAGAAGAGACAGATCTTTGGATCAGAGAAGGGACACCAAAAAAGTAACATTTCATGAGTTAAGAAATAGAATATTTTAAAGAAAGTAGTGATTCAAAAGAATCAAATAATGCATAAAAATTAAAGAGAAAGGAGGGTATTGGAGAGATAGCTCAAAAGGACTGAAGCGCATACCTGGGATACTTGAAGATCAGACTTTGACCTTGGGTACCATATGCTCCTGAAGCACTTCTGGGTATATCCCTGAGGGCTCCTCAAGTCTTTCTGTGGCTAGGATGGTCTAATAATGACAGACCTTGATCTTGAACTCCATTGGTCAAATATTTGTTATGAGTGTCCTCCAGACCCCTTGAGAATTCCTTGGGAGGATGTGACTCAGTGGTAGAGACCCTGGATTCCATCTCCAGCACTCCTCCTTACCCTGCTTCCCCCCAACTTTAAAAAGAATAAGGATTGTGAAAAAGTCAATTCTTTTAGTTCTTGGTGAAATGTAAGGGAATAGTTTCAACTACTGAGATGAGAGATGGAAAAACAAATTATTGTGTAGAAATAATAGACAATCTAGGCTTGGTTTGGAGAAAGAGTTGATAATGAAATGTATTAGAAAATGATGAGTTAAAAAACTTTTAATGCTAGCAGGCTGTGACCCATTTTGTCATTCTCATGGTAAAATACGTAGTTATTGATTGATAGTTTAGGAATATGACTCTAGGCTGTTCTGTAGAGTAAACTGGGGACAAGGCAAGGCCTTGTGGAAAAGGGAAATATTGTCATAGTTTAGGTGAGAGGGACAATGGGCCACAGTAGCATGTGTTAGCTCCATCTCCAAACTGTCAGAGTTCTTGGTCGTCTCTCACTGAGCTGTCACCTTTCTTCTCAGGCTAGGATGTATACTGCTATCCAGCATAGGTTTTTGGTGTCCCGGCAGGGTCCTCCATTCCAGATGACTCTTTACTTTTGGAGGTCCTCACATCATATATAATTTAAAAACCTTTTCATTGATCGCTGTAAAATAAAACCTTGTCAACTGTGACAAATATGTTAGCTGTTAGAATGGACTAGCAATATGCCTTTGTTCAGGGAATATATGTATGCAAATTTACATATGTATACACACAGGTGTGTGTGTGTATTGCTATTCAGTCATCAAAGCAAAGCGATCTTCTCAACCCTCCATGTCCACTCCAGTTGTGATAGCACTCCTGGCATTTCCATGGCATAACATTGATTCTCCAGCTACAGTCTATTCCCCTGCCAGTTCCCAGTCATGTATAATCTCCAGTGCTGAGTGTCATTTTGATCCCTCTCAGTACAGGATGCCCAGCTAAGGAAAATTCTGGGTGGTCCTGCAATTCCTGCATTATTTGCATCCACTGTAGCCCCAAGGACAGTTCCTCTGGAATCCCTGATTGAAGAAGGCACTTGCTTACCAAGTCCTCAAATTATGACCTGAACTGCAGGCCATTCTTCAGTGCATATGCAGTTTCTCTTCCACCGTCTTATGTGTGCTTGACTCTGCTTTTATCTTTCATCTTGGCCCTGAGAGAAAGTCGTGCGAAGATGGTCTCTTTTCCCCTGTAGACCCATGGGCTTCAGATGGTCTTGTAACAGTCCACGATTTTCTCTTCTCTCCCAAAGGCGTACTGGACTGCATTTTTTCCTGGATCTTGTCCAGTAGCATGCACTCCAGCCAGTCACAAACTTCGCCTTTCAGCAGCATTTTAGGGAAAAGATCAGTCTCGTGGTGTTTTCTAGACCCATCCTTGGTGTTTCTCCATCAGGGCATATGGGTTGTAGAGATTAGGGAATTGAGGGGAGAAAAACTGATAAAAATAGGAAAGACAGACATTGGAAATGCAGGAAAGGGCAGGGGAACAGGGAGAGCAGACTGGGCATAGGGGGATGGTCGCAGGGGATGGGAAGTGAATGGGATTTGGGGCTTCTCCTTCATCTGACGATCTTTGTAATTCTCACCATGAACCTCCTCATGACCCCTAAACCAATTGCCCCCTTCTGGTCTGTAGGATGTGTCCAGTTTCCAGCAGGTTGAAAGACTTGAGAGTGGCCGGGGGAAATGTCCTTTTGAGCCAGCTCAGCGGTCAGCAGCTGTAATGGCTGGTGAGTGGGGAGAGACAAGAATTTGTGACTTCTTGCTGTATCTGCCTCCTTTCTCTCCCGCTGTTGGAATTTCTGTGTTCTTTCTTTCCTCTCCTTGGAATGTCTATTATTCCCATGTCTCTCTCTAGCTGTTTCTGTTCTTCCCTGAGTGCCTGTGACCTTCTGCTTCCCAACCCCCCAGAATGTATTTCCCCAGTTTATCTCTAGAGAATGTGACCTCTGCACCTCTAGTATTTTTCCTCTGTTAACCTCGTTTTCTTCCCCTATTGTGTTTTTTTTCTATTCCTGTTTATAAGAGGAATCTACTACAATGCATATTGTAATAAATTTGAAATAAGTATTAAGGAGAACATAAGAAATCTTGTAGAACAGCACTGCCCAAAAGAACTTGCTGTGACCCTGGAAATGTTCTAGATCTGTTCTCTCCAATGTGATAGCTATTAGCTTCATGAAGCTCTTGATGCCTTGAAATGTGAGTAGTGTGATTGAAGGAAGGAATTAAAAATTTGATTTCCTTTTTATTTAAATACAATGGCCATGTGTGTTTAGTAACTACCATAATAGCACACCTCTGAAGTCATCCTACTCAGAAAAGCACTGCTGATATTTGAGTACATTTCCTTCTGGTCTTTTAAAGTGTGTATGTGCATACACACACACACACACACACATATACATGCATATATACTACTTTTTTTTTGCTGGCTAGCCCTTTGTTGCTCAGAGGAATCATTTATGGCTATTAATAAATTTCTACTGTTTTTTCCTTTGAGCTAATTATGTACAGATGCTCAAGTGTGGAATGGTTCTGTCACAGGTTATGCCTAAACCTTTCCTGGAGAATGACTGTCTAATACTTTGGTGACCACAAAGTGAACTGTTGGTATGTCATGTAGGCTAGAGTTTAGCTCAGACTTCCAAGTCCACAGATACCCTTCAGATTCAGTGAGAGCCCAGCTATTTCCTCATGAAGGTTAATAGAAACAAATGAATAAACAGTGAAATAGGCAGGTTAATAGAAATGTTTTGGATGTGTAAGCATAATGTAAACACTTTCAATTATGCTACTTGAATGTAATTTTGATTGGCATGTAAGTATACCACAGGCATTTCTAGCTAACTATATTAATATTAAAATGATCTTTATGAAAAATTTTAAGTTGTTCTGCTGTTCACCCATGAGGTTGTAATAATTTAATCAAACAAATTCAGTCATCTTATAATTTAATTTTATTTCCAAGTTTATTTAAAGTTTATGCTATTATTTATGATACCATAATGAACATTTTAAAAAACTTTTAAAAATTTCTTTTTTTGGCCACACTTGACTGCTCAGGGTTTATTCCTGCCTCTGCATTCAGGAATCACTCCTGGTGGGGCTTGGGGAACCATATGAGGTGTGGGGGATTGAAGCTGGGTCCGCCGCTTGCAAGGCAAGGATTGTGCCTGCTGTACTATCTCTCTGGCCCTGTTACAAATATTTTGGTGCATACACTGTTGTATTTAGATTCTCTTCTCAAGATTCCTGGAAGTGAATTACTAAATATAAGGGTGTGAACATCTTTGGGCTCATCATTTGTTGCTAATAGACTTTTTAGAAAAGGCGCACCAATTTACACCCTAAATCAGTGGTAAATGAGAGTATTTTTATTCTCATACAGATTTCACTGGAATATGTTACTTAGAAAAACTTTTCTAGGGCCAGGAAGATAGCTCAATGCATGTTTTGCATGTGGGAGGTTTCTTCTGATCCCTCATTTCTTGGTGCCCTGAGCCTGACTAGGTGTGGCCACCAGATACACAAAATCTTCACTAATTAGCAAAAGTTAAAAATTACATCTTGTTTCTTTAAATTTCCTTACCACAAGTGAAGGTACTTATTTTTTGTGGGGGAGGTTGGACCACACAGTGGTGTTCAAGGGCTGTTATCCATGACAGTACTCAGGGCACCAAGAAGTGAGGGATTTGAACTGAGTTGGATGCATACCAGGCAAGTGTCTTATCTGCTGTTCTATCTTGCTGGCCCTACAAAATATTTTTGTTGTTGTTGGGGGAGGCTGTGCTTGGGGCTGACTACTGGTTCTGTGCTCAGGGATCACTCCTGGCCAGGCTGGTGGGACCAAATGTGTTGCTAGATTTGAACCCTAGTCAGCCATAGGCAAGGCAAGCAAGTACTTTACCCACTGAACTATCTCTCTGGCCCCCGTAAAATTGTTTTTTGCCTATACCTTGATTTAATATTTTATAAAAAACAAAAATTGGAATACAACTTCTAACAATGCTATTTTTTTTCTTATAGGAAAAGTCTCAAAGTTTATTAAAAACAAACCACTCTTCATCATATAGTGACTTAACTTTTCTGAAAAGTAATAAACAATATTTGGGCTGATATTTTTATCACTCATCTATAGTTGAAATTGATGTAGTCTCATCTATATGCAATCACAAGGGTTGGAATAAAAACAGTATAATCTACAGTTTAATTTTCTTTTCTCTTGTTTGTTTTGGGGTCACACCTGCCAGTGTTCATGGCTTAGTTCTGGCTCTGTGCTCAAGGATCACTACTGTCAGGGAATGCATGTGGTGCCAGGGATTGAACTCTCTCTCTCACACACACACACACACACACACACAAGACAAGCACCAATCCATTGTACTATCTCTCTTTGCCCAAATCTTTACGACTTTTTGTCAAGCATCAGAGCCAGTCATTGGGATCATTAAGAAAGATTTCTCAGTTTTGGCAGTTATGCATATTTCTTGATTCGACAATGACGTCTCAACTGCTGTTATCGAAGGTGAGGTGTTAACACGGCTTCTTTGTTCCTAGCAGTTCTCTTTAATATGTTCGACCTTTGTTCAACCTTCCGTGGGTGATTTGTATTTGAGTTGGCAAGTGGATTCACTTCAGTGTGTAGTTTAAGAATACAAATTTTGCAAGTGTGGGAAAGAAAATTTGAAAAAAAAAAAAGCTTCCTTTCTCCCTCCTTCTCTCTCTCTCTCTCTCTCTCTCTCTCTCTCTCTCTCTCTCTCTCTCTCTCACACACACACACACACACACAAAATGAATTCAGAATTGTCTTTCAACTGATAATTTATGAAAATGACCAGAATTTATTTTCTAACATGTCCTCTTCTGTCTCAGATTCAAATCCCAGTTGACATACATTTTAACATTTCCTCTGAAGTTCTTACTCTATACAGCTCTCATTCGATTTTGTTCTCCATCTAAGTGCCAGCATTCACTTTGGCTCTGTAAGTGCTGATTTATGTTCTATTGTCCTAGTTTTGGACACAGAACTATTGAAAATAGTCACAACAAAATGTAAGATCTAGAAAAAAATTCCAGTTAGGATTTATAAGACTATACTTCAGGTAATAGAGATATTTGAAATAAAAATGTTTTTAGTGACGCAGGTATTTTTAGAATATGATAGCAGAAATGCTAATTTATTTATTTATTGCTTTTTGGGACACATCTGGCGATGCACAGGGGTTACTCCTGGCTCTGCACTCAGGAATTACTCCTGGCAGTCCTCGGGGGACCATATGGGATGCTGGGAATTGAACCTGGGATGGCCGCGTGCAAGACAAAAGCTCTACTCGCTGTACTATCTCTCCAGCCCTGCTAATTTATTTTTGTGATTCTGGGGATTAAATCCAGAGGCTTACACATGTAAGGCAAGTGCTCTACTGCTGACTCGTATCCACAGCTTAGCAGAATTATTTAAATTATAAAAATTACAAAAAAATTACAATGTGCATTGTAGGAAATATAGAAATGTATAAAGTAGTAAATTTTAATTATATTATCTATAAATAATTTAAAATTTTATTATCACTAGATAACCACTGTTATTTTTTTAGAATATTTTCTTCTGTATCTGTTATATCTTCATAACAGATTAGAATCATGATGTTTCAAGTAGTATTGTATTCTGAACATTTTCTCTTTTTCTGGCTTTTTGGGTCACACCCAGTGAGGCTCAGGGGTTACACCTGGCTCTTCCCTCAGGAATCACTCCTGGTGGTGCTCGGGGAACCATATGGGATGCCGGGGATCGAACCCAGGTTGGCTGCATGCAAGGCAAACACCCTACCCACTTTCTTATCATTCTGGCCCCTCTGAACATTTTCTTGTCATAGAAATGTTTAATTATTCAAGACAAGAATATTGTGACTATGTACTCTTTCATTATACATATAGAATTAATTGTATATACTTATATATTCAAGTTAATTTTTGCTTTGATTTTATTAAATTTGGTGCTAGATATCAAACTCAGAGCCAAATATATATATATATATATATATATATATATATATATATATATATCAGGTGCTCTGCTGCTGAGCTAGTCCAGGAGTCCCACCATTCAAATTTTCAAACATTGACACTCTTAAAAATAATGCTCAGAAGAAATCTTTTTACATAAGCATTTATGTAATTCCTTTATTGAAACTAAATAATTGCATATTGCCAAAAAACAAGAGTTGTTGAAACAGAATGTATAAATACTTCGATCTGGTCAAATTGCTTTACAACTAGTCCCATCAGCAGTTAGAGGGGGCCAGCCTTATCACACCACTGTCTACCCCAAGTTACACAGAGGATAAACACATAGTGACCTCCAAAGCCTCACTTGATGCACATTTTGATTTTCTTTTCTGTTAGTGAGGCTGAACAACTTTCAAGGGTTTGTTGGGACTTAACTTTTGGAGGATGTCTCAGAAGTCTCATCTTCAAATAGGGCTTTTTTTTCATATTGCATTTAGATAAAAATGAACAAATGGGCATTTGATCTCAGAGTTTTTATTACACATTTGAAAACTGAAGAAATCCAAGTACTGGACAATAACATTAGACTATGAACACTGGAAGTTCTTTCTCCATCTCTTTGGTAGGGTCTTTGTCTTTTGTTTATAATATAAATGTTGGGATTCCTGGGACTTCCAGCCAAGACCCTTCCTTCTCCCTCCCCTCCCCTCCCCTCCCTCCCCTCCCCTTCTCTTCCCTTCCTCTTCCCTTCCTCATACAGATGCTTCCAGGCATCTGTATTTGCATGTCCCTCAGGATTCCAGAATTGCCATGTCCCTAACTCCCTAACTAGGCTCATCATATTCCCTCACCTCCTCACTTGGCTCTTCTGATATTATGGTGCCATTACTCAACCAGGTAACCAAACTGGGACAGCAGTCATTTTTTTTCAGTGAGGAATTTGACAAGATTAGGAGGCAACTTTGACCCTTTTGCTTTGGGAACTTATCCTGTTTTTATAATTTTCCTGTTTCACTGAGTCTGTGATTACTGCATCTGCCCCAAGGCACTGCACATACTCCAGATGCATTGGTTACTGCCAGCATTTGGCCACCTCTTTTCTGTCCAGATGTGTCTATCGCAAACCTAGTATTTATACACTACTTGTTTCAACTAGACAGCTATAGAAATTTTCCAGGGCCAACACAGGAACAGGTAGGGTAACACTTCATTTACTGCATTTTCAATTATCTAATTATATTCTAACAATAGGATGTTAAAAACAAAAAGGTAGTAAATTGGCCCAACCTGTAGATAAGAAAATGAAGTAAGCTTGAACTTTTGGGTTACAAAATTCAATGATGCTAAGTGCAAAAAAAAAAAAATCTAGAAAGTTAAAAAAAAGGAGAAAATAAGAATTAGACATTAACACTGTGGAGATGTTCCTCTTTCAACAACCTTTCTATATCACACACACAGATATGTATATATAATATACATATTACATATATACATATATATGTATATTACATATAATACATAATATGTATATTATATATACATGTATAAGTATAGACATGTATAATTATATTTACAATAGGATTGGATTATCAGCTGTCCTTTTTATTGATAGAAATCCCATGGTTTACAATACAATAATGGTTTCTCATGCATATAATTCCTACAGCACATCCATCCCCAGAATACACACATGCCTCCCCCAAGGACCCCAGTCCTTCTCCCTCTCAATCCACCCCCCCCCCAGCTCATTTATGTGGATCAGTCCTTCTGTTCTGTTTCAGTCAGTCTTCTTTCCTAATTATCTTGATCACTGAGCTCAGCATGGGAGCATTGCTCTGTTTTGCATATCATCTATTGTTGAAGTCAGTGTGTATTTTAATCATTATTGACTTGATCCTTTCAATCATTTCTTGTCAACACTACACACATAGGGAGATAATGTTATATAAAATGCCACTTAATAGTTGGAATTGAGGTGGTCCTGGATACTCTAGGACCTGTGGAGATTCTGTATCTTGTGAATTTCTGTGTTTACAACTGTGACTGTTGTTGGTTCTTTTTCTGTGTGTGTGTGTGTGAGTGTGTGTGAGAGTGTGAGTATGCATTCGTGCACATATCTGAAAGTGTTACAAGCCCTTGGAACACTTGGAACTCTTTTACTTCCTGTCAGAATTTCCTCCCTCGTGCTGCCTCTTAGATTCAGTGATCTTCTGCTATTCCCTTTTGAGTAAGTATGCTCCAGGTTTCAGAGTTGCTCATTGCCTCATAATTCCTAGAAAGTTTAGTGATCTAAAAAAAGAGAAAGTTTAGTGATTTTGTGTCTTTGTCTACCGCTGAGTCCTTGCATGGCTTTCTCTGCCATCTTCCCATGTCACATGCTCAAATATCTGTAACTATCTCCTAACTGTCCTCAGTGTCCATGATATGACTTCTGCCAGGGTTTTGCTTAGATGGTTTGTGCATAATGGTTTTTATTTTTTATTTTTTTTTGCTTTTTGGGTCACACCCGGCAATGCATAGGGGTTACTCCTGGCTCATGCACTCAGGAATTTCTCCTGGAGGTGCTCAGGGGACCATATGGGATGCTGGGAATCGAACCCAGGTCGGCTGTGTGCAAGGCAAATGCCCTACCCACTGTGCTATCGCTCCAGACCCTGCATAATGTTTTCAAGGAAAAATTTCATTCTGACTCTTTTGTGCCAATTTTACTCATCTCTTTAAATATAGAGAATTGACTCATTTGCAGCTCTGCTTCCTGTGGGACCACTGCCCAGAGTATTTCAGGAAGTGCTCTTGAATAAAAGGATGCCATTTTATTCTCTACTCTGACCCCTTTCTGGCAACAAAGCAAGCACATGGCCCCTCAATGGTTCAAAAGGGGCCGCAGCTAATGTGTCTGAGTGCCAGTCATGCACCAGGCTCTGCCCGAGGTTCTGGTGGATGCTCATCAAATCTGCACCTTTCTGAAGGTGAGAGGGCATCACCCCTGATATTCAGCTGTCCAGGATCATACTCTGAATTAGCATCCATGGTTCAAACCCAGGTTTTCTTGGCTCCAAAGTTCTTGGATTCTTTCACTGTCTCAAGTAAGAGAATAGTCTCCTTACCTCACAGCGGATTTCTTGTTCTCTGCTGTTGTCCTTGGAGGCCTCCTGATGATTTTTGGGGAGCTTGTTTTGCATAACATGTCATTAAAATAGTGTTGAGGCTGTGACAACAATTCAGTGATAGGCACATGCCTCACACGCCCAAGGCTCCAGGTGCGACTCCCAGTTGTGTTCATCTTTCAGCAACTGAGACATGTAGCTTTACTTGATCATTTGTCTCAAGGTGGTTGTGGTTTTCCCAAGGAGGCCCCTCTTCACTGCTTCCTTCAGTGGGCCTGAGCTCCTCTGATCTTGCAGGGGTCCCCATGCACCAACTCTGGCATCCCAACCCTTCTTTCTTCCCCAACTTCTCTAATCCGATCTTCTCTTTCCTTCAGTAGCTTCTGACCGTAAGTGGTGGTTTCCCTCAGGCTTTCTTCTTATATTCCATTTCTCCTTTGCTATTTTGTGTTCATATCATCACTTCCGGATGATTCTAAATTGCTCAACACTGGTCCTGTTGCCATGCCCTTTTGCTGGATTGCCTCCTGAGTATCTCTGGTGCATCAGCCATGGTGTGTCCAACATCAGAACTAATTTTCTGTCCAGCCACCGCCTTCTGGTCCTTCCTACCATTTCCTGGCTCAGTTTATGAGATCACAAGGCACCATTCATCTTAGAAGCCGCAAGCCTTACAGACACTATTTGACTGCATTCACTCACAGCTCACGCTCAGTGGATTCTCACATCTGATTTCTTTTGAAATGGCTCCTAAACCTAGCTCTGTGTTCCTTTCGGCTCTGCCTTAGAATAGACTCTTACCTAGACTGTGAAGGACCTTCTGACTAGCATTTCTTCCTAAAAACAAAACTGATTGAGGCTTGGAGAGGTAGTACAAGGGTTAAAGCATTTGCCTTGCAGATGGCCAATCCCAGTTTGATCCTCAGATTGCCTCTGATCACCTGAATACCTCTGGTAATAATCGCTGAGCACAGAACTAAGAGCAAATCCTGAGCACTGCTTCATGTGGTCCAAAACAAAACAAAATAAAACAAAACAAACAAACAAAAGCCCTGATTGCCACTTGATTCTTGAAGAAAACTTCTCTTGTCTTCCCTGTAGGTTAAAGTCCCCATTCTCCAGCATGCTCTAGCAGGTGCTTCTTTCGACACCTTCACCCTCCTCTGCAGCCCCTGTGCCCAGCAGAAGTGCCAGCCAGGATGGTCCCCCTGATTCTGAAGGCGGTGCCCACTATCCTGCTCGCCAGACATGACAAATTGCTCATTCTTCTTCCCCAGCTCAGACTTCCCCCTTGAAGGGGTGCTTCCCCAGATGTGGTGGGGTCCTCTATGTGCCAAGCACTCCTGTGAGCACATACCCTCAATACCTGGTGGCTTGCTCTAATCTGGATTCCCATGGTGGTTCTGAGGCCCGGGGCTTGGGTATTTTTTGGGGGGGTCACACCTGGTGATGCACGGAGGTTACTCCTGGCTCTGCACTCAGGAGTTACTCCTGGTGGTGCTCGGGGGACCACATGGGATGCTGGGGATCGAACCCTGGTCCACTGCGTGAAGGCAAACACCCTACCTGCTGTACTATAGCTTCAGTCCCTGGGGCCCAGGACTTAGATACAGCAGAGGTGAATGAATGCCACTCTGCTTTGTACTCTCCAGAGTACTGTCACATGCCTCCTGAAGGTTTACAACCTTGTACTAGCTCCTGAAGGATTTTTCTCCCGTCCACGGTCACCCCTCTGACCATGCTACTCAGAGGGGCCGGACTTCTGGCCGTTGGCATTACCGCACCCCTCTGTGCCTGGAGAGGCCGTGTGCTTTTCCAAGGCCTGGTCCTACATTCCTTCTACACTGCCTTCCCGTGGGAACATTGAATCCACTGTTGCTTCTCCTATTTGGCTATGACAATTCCAGGAAGCCCTTGTGGGCCACTGTTTCTCATCGGGAGCTCCCAAAATTAACAGGCCTCAGACACCTGAGGAGCTCAAGTGCTCCTTTGCAAAGCATCATGTTGGGCCCCTCCCAGCCTCTCCGGAGGAGGTCAGAATTGCTGGGCCCAGTAATCAGCATTTTGACCAATTCCCTAAGCACGCACTTGTGCCCCACAGCTGTGAGTTGTTTCAGAGGGAGCAAACACCCCTGACAGGATGCAGTTTGCTGTCCCCGACTCTGAGATGAGGTTGAGAAGGTCCACGAGCAAGTCCCCTTCTTGGGGAGTCACAGGCTAGTGAAAATTTGATTTTTGGGCCACACCCGGCTGTGCTCAGGGGTTCCTCTTAGATCCATGTGCAGGAGTCACTCCAGCAGTGCTGAGGGGACCAGATGGGCTGCAGGGCCCGCGTCCTGTCTGCTGTCCTGTCGCTGGAGCATCTTGAATCGCTGGCTAGGGCGGCCTCCAACAGCAACACGAAGCCAACAAAGGAAGGGACCTCCCTTCCCCCTTCCCGCGCATGAGCTTCCGCACCCCATTCTGTCCCGGAGCACTCAGATCTGCCTTTATTTGAAAGCCAGGTGCTGCCTGGCAGGTGCCCCCGTTATCCCCGCGGTTGCCTTCCCCGCTGACGGCCTGTTCCTCCTGTCGCCCTGCAGGGGGCGCCCTCTACGTGGCCACCGTGAAGAACTTCCTGGGGACCGAGCCCATCATCGTGCGCGCGGCGGGGCGCGCGGAGGACTGGGTGCGCACGGAGATCCTGTCCTCCTGGCTGAACGGTGGGCAAAGGGCTGGGGGCACCGCGGGTGGAGGCAGGGCGCCGGCCGGGCCTGGGGGACCTGACGCCTCTGGTCTCCCTAGCGCCAGAGTTCGTGGCCGCCGAGGCCTTGAGCCCTTCCGAGTGGGGGGACGAAGAGGGAGACGATGAGATCTACTTCTTCTTTACGGAGAATTTCCGAGGATTTGACCCAGACGAGGTCACCAAGGTCCCCCGCGTGGCGCGTGTGTGCGCGGTGAGTGCCAGCTCGGGCTGTCTGTCCTGCCGTTTCCTCCGGGGTCTCTGCATCTCTCTGTCTGTCTCTCTCTGTGTCTGTATCTGTCTGTCTGTCTCTTTTTTTGGCCACACCCTCTGGTGCTCCGGGCTTACTCCCCGCTCAAGGATTTCGTTACTCCTGACAGTGCTCAGAGGACCATATGGGAAGCAGGGGATTGAACCAGGGTCGGCTGCATGCAAGGCAAGCGCCCAATCCACTGTAGCTCTCCGGCCTCTTCTCTTCCCTCTTTTCTCTGCCATTTTCCCTCACCTGGGGAATTTAAGGAGTGGGGGCTCTCTGACTCCCAGAACTTAACTCTTGGCTCTGCACTCAGGAATCACTCCTGGCGGGGCTCGGGGGAACATCTGGGATGCCAGAGATTGAACCTGGGTCTGTTTCCGTGCAAGGCAAGCACCCTACGCTCTGTACTATAGCTGCAACATGGCACGTCTATTTTATTGGGGGTTGGAGATGTTGGTTTTTTGGGCCACAGCCTGGCAGAGCTCAGGGCTTACTCCTGGCTCTGCTCTGCGGTCACTGCTGGCCATTCTGGTACTGGGGTTCAAACCGGGGTCTGCCATGTGCAAGACAAGCGCCTTAACCCTTGCACTCTCTCTGGCCACATCTATAAGATGAGGATATTAATAACAGTTTGGAGTGTTGTTTGAAGGACATAATGAAGATAGACACTGTCACTGTTTCTGTCATCCCGTCACCCCTCTGTCTCATTCTGTCCTTGCCATTGCTCTGTGTATGTGGGTCCTTCCATTTCTCTGCATCTGTCGCTCTGAGTCGGCTGTAAGATTGGGACATTGGTACTGTTCTCCACATTCCTCCCTGCACATTAGTCTTCTAAAGGGAACTTCCCATGCCCTTGTCATCCTAGGGGGACCTCGGGGGCCGGAAGACCCTCCAGCAGCGGTGGACGACATTTCTGAAGGCTGACCTGCTCTGTTTAAGGCCCCAGAACGGCCTGCTGTCCAGTGTCCTGCAGGACGTGGCCATTCTCAGGCCTGCTTCTGGAGTGGGCTCGCCCATTTTTTACGGCATCTTTTCCTCCCGGTGGTGAGGGGGCTTGGCATGGAGGAGAGTTTCCAGGGTTGGAGCAGTCGGTGGGAGCATGCCCTGGGGAGGGACTCTCTTGGGGTCCGGCTCCTACTCCCCGGGAGCGGGTGCATGTTCAGGGGAGATGTGGACAGACCACTGCCCGCTTCATTCCCTCTTGATTCCTGGCTCCCACCCGTGTCTCTCCAGGGAGGGGGGCACACTGTCTGCCGTCTGTGACTTCTGGCCACAGGACATCCGGTCAGCTCTCAGCGGGCCTTTCAGAGACCTGGAACATGACTGCAACCGAAGGCTGCCTGTCATGGCCAATGAGGTCCCCCAGCCTAGGCCAGGAGAGGTGAGGGGGTCAGGGCGGCGGGGGTGGCCAGCCCTTCATTTCAGACCTGAGTTGCCCGAGTGAAGGGTTCCTCCGGGCAGCTCCACGTGTCACCTGCGCTGTGTTCCCTTCAGTGCCTCTCCAACAACATGAAGCTCCGGCAGTTCAGCTCATCCCTCGCCCTGCCCGACCGGGTGCTCACCTTCATCCGTGACCACCCACTCATGGACCAGCCGGTCACCCCACCCGGTGGCCGCTCCCTGCTGGTCACGCGCGACACAGCTTATGTGAGAGTCGCGGCCCACAGGGTGACCGGCCTCTCAGGGCGAGAGTATGACGTGCTCTACCTGGGCACAGGTATGTGGCGCACTCTGCGGGGCACGCCGGCCCTCCCGGGTAGACAGGGTGCTCCTCCCGCGGGCTCCATGTCCCTCTGTCTCGCCCCTTCCCCAGAGGACGGACACGTGCACCGGGCCGTGCGGATTCAAAGCCGGTTGAGCGTCCTGGAGGATCTGCCTCTGTTTCCCCAGCCGCAGCCAATAGAGAGCATGAAACTGTATCAAGTGAGTCACAGGCTTGGTGGAGATGTTTGAGCCGGACTCTGGGCGACGCGAAGGTCTGGGACACCCGACCTGCTCACCGTTGCTTCCTTTTAAAAAAACAGGGCTGGCTCCTGGTGGGCTCCGGGACCGAGGTGACGCAGGTGAACACCACCGACTGCGGCCGCCTGCAGAGCTGCTCCGAGTGCGTCCTGGCGCGGGACCCCGCCTGCGCCTGGAGCTTCCGAGTGCGTGCCTGCGTGCCGCACGCCCGAGAGCGCGGAAGGTGAGTGTGGCCGCGCTAACCTCCCCTCTGCTGCTCATCTGCTCGGTGCTGTGTGTCGGTTCACCCTCACTGCTCTGTCTGCCTAATGCTGCCCCATGAATGTCCTTGCCTCTCTGCCGGACCTTCCTGACCATGCGATGGATCTCCTTCCTGCCATACCCAGCTCGGCTTCCTCTTACTCGCACTTCCAGAAGTGTTTGCGCAGCAGGTCCTTTCCTTCTTTGTTTCTGTTCAGGCTGCTTCCTCCTGTGTCCCCTCCCTTCCTTACTAGTCTGTCTCTTAACATCTGCCTGCCTGCCTGCCTTCCATCTCTCCCATGTTCCCTCCCTCTCGCCTTCCTTTTCCCCCTCCCTCCCTTCCTTCCTTCTCTTCCTTCTTCCTTCCTTCTCTTCCTTCTCTTCCTTCTTCCTTCCTTCCTTCCTTCCTTCCTTCCTTCCTTCCTTCCTTCCTTCCTTCCTTCTTCCCATCCTTCCTTCCCTCCTTCCTTCATCCTCTCTCCCTCTCTTTCTCCCTCTCTTCCTTTCTTCCCCCCCTCCTTCTCTCCCTTCCTTCCCTCCCTTTTCCCCTCCCTCCTTCCTTCCCTTCTACTTTTTCCCCTTCCCTTTCTCCTTCCCTTTTTCATTCATTCCTTCCCTCCTTCCTTTCTGATTTTTCTTTCCTTCTCTCCCTCTTTCCCTCACTATCTTCCTTCCTTCCTTCCTTCCTTCCTTCCTTCCTTCCTTCCTTCCTTCCCTTTCTCTGTCCCTTCTTTCTTCCTTCCTTCCATCCTTGCCTCCCTCTTTCTCTTTTTGGGCCAGACCAGTGGTTTTTAGGAGTTTTCCCTGACTTGATGCTCTGGAAACCGTGTGGTTCCAGGTGTCAATCCTAGGGTTCCCAAATGCAAAGCATGCCGGCCCCCAGCACTTTACACCATCTCTTCAGCCTCCCATTTTTTTAAATCCAGCATCCGAATGTTGATGTTCTCAAGGGTCTGCCTCTGCTCTGTGCTCCACAACCTCTGTGGGTGCTTTCATTACCATTCTTTTAACATCACCAAAGTGCCCACAGCAATCACAGGTGCTTCTTTGGCAGAGTTTTGATAGTCCCCTTAGAACTCAGTCCTAACTTAGCAAGTCCTAACTTGGCAAGTCCTAACATGCCCTGTTGTTTCTGTTTCTGTTTCCCTCATCTCAATGAAGACACTTCCGTCCATTCAGTTCCTCAAGCCAGAACTTGGGCCAATGATGTAGCACATTGTTCAGCTCTACCTCTGTCGTTCACTTCTTCAGTCATGCCCTCTTCTCTACTCTTTATTACTGTCACTCTCATCCTAGGTGTGATTGATACATTGTGGGGGTCCCTCCCTAGCAGTGCTCCAGTGTAACCTCCCTGGTGGTTCTCAGGGGACCCTGCGATGCTCAAGATTGAACTCGAGTCTCCACATGCAAGACAACACCGGCCCTTCACGATTTTCCCCCAACCCTCCATAATTAATTCTCGACTGGATTTCTTTAATGGCCTCTTCATTGGTCTTTCCCCCTTCTTTTTCTTTTTCATCTGGGGTTCCTACCATCTGTTTTCTACCCAGCAGTTAACATAAATCATACATTACATTGATGCAAATCTCTGACACCATGTTCATTGAAAATATTTATTATTATTATTAGTTTTAGTTTTAGTTTTGGGGTCACACCCAGATACTCAGAGATTAATCCTGGCTCCTTTCAGGCATACGATATTCAAACACCAAATCCCTCCACCAATGTCCACTTCTCTTCGCCAATGTCTCCAGTTCCCCACCCGCTCACAGCCGCCTTGGTGGCGGGTACTATTTACATTTTAGTTTTTCTTTTTTCCCCTGTCTTAGGGACTATGGCTTACTCTACTGCTACTGACAGGCTGTCATCCTTGCCACTTTACCTCTCTTCAACACTTAGTTCTGCCCAGAGTGACCACTTCCTTAGGCATAATTTCTTAATGGCATCAGTTATACATGCAATATTCCCATTGGCCAGTTGAGATACTTAAAAATAATTTGTAGGGCTGGAGAGATAGCCCAGCAGGTAGGGCATTTGCCTTGCTCTCAACTAAACCAGTTTCGATTCCCAGCATCCTATATGGTCCCCTGAGCACCACCAGGGGTAATTCCTGAGGGCAGAGCCAGAAATAACCCCTGTGCATCGCCAGGTGTGGACCCAAAAAGCAAAATAATAATAACAATAATTCGTATATCATGATTTAAATAAATGTCCCTCAATTGTAATTATTCTGTTCCTCATCTTTGATTCTTCGGCATTCCGCTCAGTGGAGTCTTTTTACTTGAAAGTTCATTTAATTAACTGCTTAGAAAACAGTTTTTCAGACTGAATTATAATGTCCTATTTGAAAGTTCAGTTTATTTTAAGTGTATTTGTACATATTACTGACCTCCGAGGGTACAAATATTTTAAAAATTACATGTCCTCTTTTTTTTTTTTTTTTTTGCTTTTTGGGTTACACCCGGCGATGCACAGGGGTTACTCCTGGTTCATGCACTCAGGTATCACTCCTGGCCGTGCTCGGGGAACCATATGGTATGCTGGGAATCGAACCTGGGTCAGCCGTGTGCAAGGCAAACGCCCTAACTGCTGTGCTATCACTCCAGCCCCCGCATGTCTTCATTTTTGGCTATTACTTTTTGGTGAAGAACTTTGACCTATCTGGAGAGAGAGAGAGAAAGAGAGAGAGAGAGAGAGAGACAGAGAGAGAGAGAATCATGGTTAGGGTACCTGCCTTTCCACAAGGCTGACAAGGGTTTCATCCCTGGCACCGCAACAGGTCTCCTGAGCACAGCCAGAAATGATCCCTGAGTGCAGAGCTAGGAGTAAGTCTTAAGCTCAGCTGAGTGTGGCCATTAACCAAAACCAAAATAAAGCAAAGACAAAACACACCCTCCCTCCAACCTCCCAAAGAACTTTGACCTAGTCTCTTACTGTCTTCTTTTCTGGAGGTTGGGGTGATACTTGGCAGCTCTCAAGGGACCCTGTAGTGTCAGGATTGAGCATGTCCTCTAGCCCTTTCAACCATCTCTCTTTTGGGAGAACTTACACCTTTCAAAGACAAAAGTGAGTGTTTTCTCTTTCCTCCACTGTTCTAATACCCATCCAAAGCAGGACTCTAGTGGTCTTAGGGACCCTACATCCTTGAACTCACGGATCTCTTAAGATCCATCTTGTGTGCCAGAGTATTTCCTGGTACTCCTGAGTGCATCACGGTCCTCGCCTCCATTCTCACCAGGGAAGAAAATGCTGATTCTCAAGTCCCTGCGGCCAGAGCCGCACCCAAGGCTTTCCGTATTCCCCACTTTTAGCTTGATAGAATGACCCTGGTTTCATTTTATTTGACATTTTCATTATTATCCCGCACTTTGTTATTTGTTTTGTTTCTGACTAATAGATTACTCTCCAGCAGTGCTGGCAGACCCTGGAGACTCTGACCCGGGGCTTGGGGCCAATTGCTCAGTGCTTGAGCCGGGTGTTTGCAGTGCTCAGGTACTGGACGCCACTGCTGGACGCCACTCAGGCTATACCTGGTGGTGTTTGGGGAGACCATGCATGCCAGGGGTTGAATCTGGGGCCTTGCAAATGCAACACATGTACCCCACCCCTTTTGAGCTACCTCTCAGCATTTTATTTTTTACCTTTTTCTCAGAATTGGTTATCATTATTGTTATTATTAATTTTATATGCACCCAGCAGTGCTGGTGGCCACCAGGATCTGTAGGCCCAATGAGAAGTAGCAGTGGTCAGGGTCGCACTTCATGCTGGCAAGAACCTCAGGGCATCACATGTGCAGGGCACATGCTCTGCCCCTGGGCCACAGCCTCGGTTCTGTACAATCTTGGTTGTAGCCAGCCAGCAGGCTTTGACGAGCATTGCCACCTCAGGGCTGGTTTCCAGGGCCTCGGGGGTTGTGGCAGCTTTTGTGTCACCTCATCCAGCTGTGCCCGCTCTTCGCATGGCCCGGGGTGTGGACTCACTGGCCTCCACCCCAGCTCACATGGCACCCAGTTCTGGAAGTTGCATGATTGTGTTTGAAATAGATCCACGAGAGGCCAGTGGTTCATGGCCATAGGTGAGGGGCGTTCCTCAACTATGGCCGTGAAGGAGGAGCAGCTTTTAAGGTAGGAAAAGTCGTCCCACGGCTGCAGCTGGCTTTTATAGAACAGAAGCTTATTCTTTCTCTGAACGGGAAAAACAAACCCTTGTAGTTTAAAATATCTCCCCATAGCCTCCTGTGAGATCTTGGTTGTGGGCAACCAGCTATATTTCTGTTTTCTCTTTCATTCATTCTAAGGGGTTTGGGCCATAGCTGTCAGTGCTCGGGGGTTACTCCTGGCCCTGTGCCCAGGGGTCACTCCAGCATGACTTGGGGAGCAGGGGGCCGTGTGTGGTGTTGGGGATCACACTGGAATGGGTTGTGTGCAAGACAAGTACTACCTGTCTGTCCCCCGGGTGCTATCTCTGCTCCCCGCCCCAGCCGCATTTCTTGGAAGGCAATGTTTCCTTCAGAACACTTCAATTACCATCTTCCCAGCAGACGTAATGCAGCTAATGTAATTCTCTGAGGTCTGTGAGAAGTCCGTGTGCCAGATTTGCTGTGGCAAATGCCCTGAGGAGTATGCAAGCGAGTAAACATTCAGTGCTTCTGAGGAGCGGAAGAGAATATTGACAGGGACTTACCAAATGTTCTTTCTTCACAGGCTGGTCCAGGATGTGGAATCAGCAAACGCCTCTTCTTTGTGCCCCAAAGAGCCTGGAGGTGAGTGTGATGCATGGAAACATGGCTGGGAAGGGACCAGAGTCTTGTCCGTTTTGGACCCACTTTAAAATTTGGATCCTCAAAGCTATGGCAGCCAGTAACCCCGGGTCACCCCCTCTTTGGGAATCCCTTTGATGGTTTGTTTTTAATTTTGGTCACACCTGGTGGTGCTCAGGGATTACTTTGCCTCTGTGCTCAGGAATCACTCCTGGAGGGGCTCAGGGGACCATATGGGGTGCCGGGGATTGAACTGGGTTTGACCGTGTGCAAGGAAAGCACCCTCCCTGCTGTCCTGTTGCTCCAGGCCCTCCTTTCTGAGATTACTGCACTCCTCTCTCTGTCACACCCCAACCTAGACTCTCACTGTCTTTCGTGCCTTTCCTGTCTCTCTGCAGAAGATCCCGTAGTCTTTGAAGTTCCTGTGGCTGCCGCCGCTCATGTGATCTTGCCGTGCTCCCCGAGCTCCTCATGGGCATCCTGTGTGTGGCACCAGCCCAGTGGAATGACGGAGTACAGCCCAGGGCAGGATGGGCTAGTGGTGGTGGTCACCCCAGGGGCCATGGGCGCTTATGCCTGTGAATGTCAAGAGGGGGGTGTGACCCACGTGGTCGCAGCTTATAGCTTGGTGGGGGGCAGCCAGCTGGGCCCAGCGGGTCAGGCCCACACTGTGGGGGCTGGACTAGCTGGCTTCTTGCTGGGGGTGCTTGCGGCCTCCCTGACCCTCCTCCTGATTGGTCGGCGTCAGCAGCGCCGGCGACAGAGGGAACTTCTGGCGAGAGACAAGGTGGGCTTGGACCTGGGGGCCCCGCCCTCTGGGACCACAAGCTACAGCCAGGACCCTCCCTCGCCCTCCCCTGAAGATGAGAGGCTGCCCCTGGCCCTGGCCAAGAGGGCCAATGGCTTCGGAGGCTTCCCCCCACCCTTCCTGCTGGATTCCTGCCCGAGCCCAGCCCACGTCCGGCTGACAGGGGCTCCCCTGGCCACGTGTGATGAGACGTCCATCTAGGACTGCGCAAAGCCACTGGAACAGGACGGAATGGCCACGGCAATGCTGAGATCGCTGGGCCTGCGGGATGGTCATGACCTCAGTCCTCTTTGGCCTGGCTCTCTCTGTCTGCCCTCTCTTGGGCTGCTGGGCGCCGGCCAGGTCTTGGCCTGCTTCCAGATTCCCATCAGACACCAGAACTGCTCGCTGTAGCAGATGAGGACTTTTCCCACTCTCCCCACCCCCATCCTGCTTTCTGGACTTTTGTGGCCCCTTCATCCCTGGCTTCCTGATCTGGGGCCTGTTCATAGGGAAAGGGGGCACAGGCCAGGCCCTGCGGGCTGGCTGGGCACAGGTGGGAAGGATGCAGCGGAGGAGGTGGCGGGAGGCACATGTGTGGTGCGGCCTTTTGCGGCTTCTCCCAGTCTATCTTGTTCTCAGTGGGGAGTGCATGATCCCCGGATTGCTCCCTGGCACCTTTACCCTGAGACCCCAACCCTCATCCCAGTTTTTCCTTCTTCCTGGAAAGAGCATGTGTAAATACCCACGTGTGTGCAGACTTGGCCACAGGCTCAGGAATGAGTAGATCCTCGCTCAGGTGTGTTTGTGGGGCGGCGGGAATGGGAGAGGATGGAACGGGGGCACCGCCTGCTGAACGTCTAGCTTCCTGTAACCGGTGAAGGGGTGACCTCCCTTTCTAACAGGAAGCAGACCCCTGCTTCTGTTCCCTGCACCTCCCATGCCCCTTTCCTCGAGGAGAGAACAACTCCCCAAGTGACCTTCTGGGTGGGAGGGCCAGTGGGGACATGTGACCCCATCTTTCTCTTTGTTTTTGTCTCAGTCTGCCACTGCACCATGCACAGCCATGCTTTCTCTGGCTGGAGAGTGGACTGAGACCCCTTTCCTCATTTCCCATGAAATAAACAAACAAACAAACTTCATGACATTGTAAATGTTAGGGAATGACGAAAGGGGAACAGCTGGTCATAGAAAATACAAGCAACATAGAGAGAGGTTTGTGTCACCTCAGTGATTTTACTCAGGGTGGTACCCCCTGCCTCGAAGCCGGAGTTCTCCACATTTAGGATTCCCTAAAATTGTATGCAAAAAATGCTGTCTTTCTGTGTCTGTATGTTTATGGGGGTGGTTTTATGGCTCTCATCTGATTCTCAAGGCCTTAACAAAGTCAAAGGACCATTGCCCCAGGGTCACCAAGGTTGAAGCAGAGACAGTGGCCCTGGGTGGTAGTCTTTCCTGGCCTTGCTACTGCCCCTTGTGGCTTGCCCTGGAATTGCAGCCGCTGGACGCCCTCTTGGATCTGTTCCCGGGAAGCCAGGCTCTGTGTGTTTTTGAAAACACTGTCAACTCTCACCAAACTCAAAGACCTCTTCCTGCTTCACAACTCCCGGATGCTCTAGGCTTCTCCTGCTCAGTTCCAGTCTTGGCCTGTGAATGTGCCTCGTTCATCCCTGGTGAGGGGCCCTTTGGACTGCAGTGAATGATCCAACCCTTCCCAGTTGAAGTTTGCAGCTGTATTTCCCTTGGCAGCAGCCTGTGAAACCACTTAACAAAGTCCCCCTTGGTTTGGAATGACCAGTGGCTTTGCCGTTAATATACCTGTGGTCTTTAGCAAGTCATCTAACCTAAGACCATCATTGTACTCATCTGTAAAGTGGGGATAGTAATACCTACCTCAGGGTTGCTGCAAGGATTCAGTGAGAAATCATGCAAACAATAAAGCACTATCGATACCAGTAGATGTTGTTCTTTTTTTTTCTTTTTTTGGGTTACACCTGGTGATGCACAGGGCTTACTCTTGGCTCTGCACTCAGGAATTACTCCTGGTGGGGGACCATGTGGGATGCTGGAATTGAACCTGGGTTGGTCACATGCAAGGCAAATGCCCTACATGCTGTGCTATTGCTCCAGCCCCATAGATGTTGTTCTTGTGCTATTTGGTCTATTATGCCACATTCATGTAGTTTGATCCAATGATAATGGTAGCACTTAGGATTATTTGAAGCATCTGACTTGGTTCATCTCTGGCCAGATTTCATCTGTCAATATTCAAGTGTCTGAGCATAGTGACATTATTGGTCCCTCTCTGTGGGAGTGGAGGGGGCTCACTGTTAATCAGGTGTGTCATTTAATATTATTGAGGTTAGGGATTTGTTCAGCTTTGAGGGAGAAGGGAGATTGGCCATGTCTGAGGGACCTGGGGTCTCTGAGGCATGGAGGGGAAGAGTTTACCAAAGAGGGAGAGAGTACATCACAGTGGCTTTGAGATGAATAACCCTGGGTCAGGGACTCCAGGAAGAAAATAGGATGAAGAATGGAGGGGAATGAAGAAAAAATGGAATGAGGAAGCCACATCCTATTAGGCGGAAAGGTCAAGCTCTATGAGTGAGAACAGAGGAATATGGGATTGACTTTCGAGGGAAGAGTGCAAATGACTGACTGCATTACCCTTGGGTAGAAGAAAGGCAAGAGGAGCCATGGAGAGAAGCTGAAGAAGATGCCAGACTCTTGCAGGGAGAATTGTTGGACTTCTGAGAGCTGAGGGTCTTTCTGGCTCTGAAACGCTCCTTCACTGGGACTGCCTATTAAGGAGGCTGGGACTGGGACTGGGGGTTACTGCCAGACCCCAAATGTTACCCACTTGCTCATCCTTGCTCTTAAGTTCTTCTCTGATTTTGGCTCTAGTCCCTGGTTCCTAAACTGTGACAGCTCTGACAGGGTCTGACAGGGTCTGACAGGGTCTGAGAGAGTCTGAGAGAGTTTGAGAGAGTCTAAGAGAGTCTGACAGGATCTAACAGGGTGTGATGGGGTATGAAAGGATCTGAAAGGATCTAACAGGGTCTGACGGAGTCTGAGAGGGTCTGAGAGAATCTGAAAGGGTCTGATGGGGTCTGATGGGGTCTCACAGGGTCTGAAAGGGTCTGAGAGGATCTGAGAGGATCTGAGAGGGTCTGGGAAATTCTGACAGGATCTAACAGGGTCTGGCGGCATCTGAGAGGGTCTTGAGGATCTGATGGGGTCTGATGGAGTCTGACAGGGCCTGAGAGGGTCTGACAGGGTCTAACAATTTTTTTGGTAGGGGGGTACACTCAGTGGTTCTCAGGGGTTATTCCTGGTTCAGTGCTCAAGAATCACTCCTGAGCAGACTCAAGGACCCATGTGGGATGCTGGGGATTGAACCAGGTTGACCGCGTGTAAGGCCCTACTGTGTTGTCTTATTGCTCTGGACCCAAGACTGGAATTTTTAAAGATTGTTTTACCAATGCAAGGAAAAGCTGGCTCTAAGTGTAACAAGAAATCTTTCAGTTTGTTCAACAGCAACTTACAGGACCAGCTTCCCTGTGATAAGCAAACTTCCCAGATGTGGCTTCAGAGGGGCCCAGCCGGACTCCTGGGAAACATGGGGGATGGGCAAGGACAAGCTACAGAGACTGCCTGGCTCTCCAAGGGGGTTCCCTGGGGTCAGAAGTGGTTGGAAAGCAGATATTCAGAGAAGCCTGTTCTAGACACTGTGTAGGTGTAGGCTTGGAACCCTCTTTCTCTATTTTTCTAAGGGTTCCTGGCCATTGGGGCTGGGGTTTGATCTTGGACACACGGTGCTTGGGATTTAGGGCTAATGAGGAGTCCCAGACCTACTCATGGTGGAGGTGGTATTCATGTTTTGTTCAAGGTGACATCCTCTTGCACTTGGAGCCTTGGCAGTGCAGAGCCACATGATAAAAGGCTTTCACCAATTTTATTTTACTTTTTTTTAGTTTTTAATTTTTTTGGCTCTTGGGCCACACCTGGTGATACTCAGGGATCACTCCTGGTGGTTAGTGCTTAGGGAACCGTATGGGAGGCAAGGGGTCAAACCCAGGTCTGACGCATGCAAAGTAAGTGCCCTACCCACCTTACTATCTCTCCAATCCCACCAGTGGGACCTCTCAGAAACATCATCCTCCCCTCAGTCCTAAGGAAGTCCTTTGAATTGAGAAAATCACTTCAGGACAGAGGTTCTCTCCAGGGACTCTCTGAAGGTTAAGTGCTAAGGACGCAGGATTAGATCTCTTGAGGGTGAGTTTGAGGCAGAAAACACAAGGGGAAACCTCAGGTGTCAGACCTTCCTCCCCTCTATCCTGTCAGGTGAGGTTTTCTAATTAGAGGGAGTCTCTGGAACTTCCTCTGTAGGTCCCAGAACACAAAGACTGATCAGCCAAGACCAGCACCTTCTCTTCAGGACACTTGAGCTCACGTATGATACTTCAGGCCCTGTTTTTTCCTTGGTAAGGGGGGAGGAGGCAGACACTTTCCCATAGCACTGATGTAGGCCTGTTCCCTGCTTTCAAGCGGCTTCTCCATTGAGACACAAGCTCTGATGGGTCGAGGGTGTGTGGGGTCAGCTCTGGGCTCCAGGGTTTTGGGAAGTGAACTTGAGCTTTGGTGTGGGAGTATGCAGCTGCCTCCCCTCACAGAACAATGCTCTTCTCAGTAGCTGTGACGGGACTAGAGGCTTTTCTGCCACACGGGTGCTCTGAATTCTTGTTCTTTATTTTTATTTTTGGGCCATGCCCAGTGATCAGGGCTTACTCCAGGCCCTTCACTCAGGAATTACCCCATGGCAATACTTGGGGAACCATATGGAATTCCGGGGATCGAACTCAGATTGGCCTCATGCCAGGCAATTGCCCTCCGTATCTCTCTGGCCCCAGGAATTCTTGTTTAATTCTAAGAGAAGGATGATTCTGCCTGAAATGGTCCAGACAAATGATTTTCTTCTTGAAGTGACTGGGAATGCAGAGCCAGGCTAGTTAGAGTTATAGAAATAAAGTAATATTAATACATATAGAAATAGTTATATATGTATATATCTTATATACAGCCCATATATAATATATGATATGAACTGGAGAGATAATATGAAAACTAAAGACCTTGCATGCAGTCAACTTTGGTTCAACCCCTGAGCACTGCCAGGGGTCACTCCTGAGCACTAAGTTGGAAGTAGTCTCTGAGCACCTCTGAGTGCTTTCAGGCTGTGGTGCTCACACACTCAGCCATGATGCTCACCACGAAGTTTTCACTTAGCTGCAGTGCTTACTAGGGCTCCACTGAGGTGCTTACAGGAGTGCTTGTGATGCATTTCCAGTTTGCACATTGTTTGAGTTGTGGTGCTTGCTGGGGTGGGAATGGGGTGTTTCTCTCCCTTTTTTGTGGTGTTCATACACTGAAGTGCAGACAGAAACTGCTGGCAGTGCTGGGGGGTCCCAGGCAGTAGAGCTGTGGGACACGAAGGCTTTGAACTTGTGACTGCAG